ATATGTTGTGAAGTCTCCGCTCAAGCTGTTTATGCTTTTATCAATTTATTGGTCAAACATAATTTTGTAGTTTAAAGTGAAACTCTATCTAGCGATAGTTTTTTCTCAAAATTTTGATTGAGAGACTTTTGTCACATGATTTATGCTTTTCTTGTTCCATCTTGTGAAGACTACACAAATGCTTGTTGTTGTGGATTGTTCTTGTGATGTAAAGATTGAAACTTGTAATCTTACAATAACTCTGTGATTAGGAGATCAATTGCGTGAATTTTTCTTGTGATATAAAGATTAGTACTTGTAATCTTACAACGACGTTGTGTTTAAGGTATCAACAATTCCGTGATTCATACAAAATTTCATTAGTCGAAATTGGTATTCTACCCAAATATATAGTATCCATAGGGTGATTTAATTAAAACAAAATATATTGCAAATCACTTTATTTGTGTTAATTATTGGTTAAGATTAAAAGTGCATTTAGATATACACTTTGTTGTCTATCGATCTCAGTTCATTGCATTGTCCAAACTATTTAATAAATTATTATTCTATTATTTGACTTTTTTTCTAATTTTTTATTATGATCTATATTTCTTCAACCTTTACAACAACTTTTCATCTACAATAATTATTTTCAAATTTATGAGTAATTGCAATAAATATGATGTTATTTTATTAAACAATTTTTTAAAAATGTAATTCAAAATATATCAATAATTTTTGCTATGATGGTAAGGATTAAGACTTTTCATCTACGATATTTTTTCTCAAATTTTTGAGTAATTTATTGCAATAACTCAATAATTTGAGATATATATTTACATCAATGTATTTGAAAATTACATCTTTAAATATTGTCTTAAAGATGTGATTTTCAGATATATTGATACATGCTATGGTGTGGAAATGAATATTTTGATATTTAAATGAGTAAAGTTTGAAAATTGATAAAAAAATAATAATTTCACACATTAAATTTATAATATATTTGAAAATCAGTGACAATATGAAATATAGTATGAACAAGAAATTATATTAATGAAACCAATTTAAAAAATGAATAAAGTATTATCTTGTATAACTATCAAAAATTTGAATTACTCATATTATAATGATTGAAAGAAAATTCATAAGTTTTAAAATCCAAAAAACACATTAGATGATGACTAGTAAGAGATATTTTACAATCTTATGCTTATGAAAAATTTAATTATTTTGCTTTATTTGTCCTTCCATCATCAATACAAACTTTAATCTTTCATATCCACATAATGAAATTAATTTTTTACTATTATTTTGTTGTTGTATAACTGAAATACATGAAATTTCAATGATAAAACATCTATGAAATTATAAATCTCATTTATAAATTCACAACATGAATGAAAAGTAGTAATAATTTTGATGAACTATTGTTTTTAAAGAAATTACAAATCTTAATCTTCATGTTTCATACATAGATACAATCTATGGTGTAAAAGAAGATTAGCAAATTAAATTTTTTGGATACATTATAAAGCATACATCACATGAATGAATGTAATATTGCAAGTATTACAAATTTTTGACTACCGATGTGATATGGATTGTAATTTGGAACTTTAAATCTCGTAATTTCTTGAAAATATAACAATATGTATGTAAAACATTTGTATTATATGAATGAATCTAAAAAAATTAAACATTTTGATAATTTGTAAGAGGATTTAGTGAATAAATGTCTACTTTCACACACAAAAATTTCTATTTATGATTAAGCTTTCTAAATAAACTTATATGACCTATAACTAAATTACATCCATGATCATAAACATTACGAAAAAAATCCAACATGCATTACTATCTCATAGTGAAAACTTATTTTTTATAAGAATGACAAACGATGAATTGATGTATTTACATTTTCATTGTTGAAGTGTGTGCGATATTGCAGAACAATGATGAATGTATACAAGCATAAAATAACATTTCAATAACAAGAGTTTCTAGTTTTCCAAGATCATACTTTTACAAATATATAAACTCCAAGATATTCAATCATTAAATCTATTTTCAATGCTCAACATGATAAATGAATACTTTTATTGATTAAGATGTCTAAGTTCATAGTGTGGTATTGTGTCACTTACTGTATCTAAATGACACAATATCTAGTAGTCGATGATGAAATGGGTTTCAGTCAAATAGATATTATTTGTCATGAGGTTTTTTTTTACCATCTTTACTATCTAATCCATCGTACTCTAAATATCAACAAGGCTTGTTGAGTAAAGATCTGTATGGTGAATAGAATGATGAAGGATCACATGTGTGACTTTTATTACAAATCTCTCTCTCCAACATCAACCTTACTCCTCCTTGTGGATAAAAGTGTGTATATAAGAGACACATTTTTACTCGAAGATACCCGTGTGGTATCTTCGAGTGTATCTAAGAGACACTCGAAGATTTCTCTCTAGCTTGACAATAATTTGAATATACAAATGAAATGAACTGGAGTATGAACAATGAAATCCCATCTTTAATGTGCAAAGCAATGGTATAAGGGACAGAAGAAAGTTGCATCTATTGGGATATGATGAATGAAGATTCACAAATCAAATATAATATAAACTTACAATATGAATGAGTTCAAGAAAACTCTGAATCTTTAAGACATACAAGGCAGAATGGTATCAAGGGATAGAATAAAGTTGTACTCATTGGTAAATGATATGTAAAGTTTTGTGAATCTTGATTCACAAACCAAATGAAATATAAACTTACTAACATCTATGATTTCAACCAGACTCTTTATCATTCAAAGACGTAGAAGTAGAATAGTGACTGCAATGTAATACTAACCAAGTCTAAACCGTGTAAAGGGAAGTAACTGCTACTTGATTCTCTTGATTTGCTTGTCTCATTTTTGTGTAAACACCCAATATAGTACATAAATCCATACATGCCTACGTGGTATGTAATCAATTGGATCATGTATGTGTTTGGCTAAAATTGTATACTAGATTTTAATCAATTATGGATACATTGATAGATGTGATATATGAGCCATCAAACCATGAAGAATAATTTGCCCAACTATACTTGCATGGCATGAGAATGTTGATAACCTTTACCTCAAACTTAGTGTGAGCTATCTCTCATGCATATTTCATGTGATTTCAAATAAAACAAATTGATGTGTGATAAATACTAAGAATGTTCTTAGATTTATAAAAGGCATTGAACATAGTTGTTAAAAGATGTCTTCACAAGTTGGCTCACCGTTTTATTTCTGTTATCTCACGATCTCTCAAAAAATTAGCATTCAAAGACATTAACCATTATAACTCAAATGATCTATTCTTAGTTCAACATTAAAGTATTTGTGAATGTTCTTACTAATATCTTTAGTATAAAGCATGCACTTTCTAGATCTCTTGCTAAAACATGATATCTCAAAGTTAGTGATGTCTATAATGTCTATATGTACATAGAGGAAGATGAAGAAGGGCGGTGCATGAAGATAACTTATAATTTTGCAAGAATAGAATATATTTTTGATAAATAATAATTTAATGTACAAGATATGAAGTTCTAATCACACGTGGACACTTGTTCGTTTAACTTTTGTAAGAATATTTATCATGCCTAACTGTTATACTGTGTAAGGGTTATTTCCACACGCCTATATATCGTAGGAATGAATGCCTCAAGGATATCATTCTAAAGGGATATTGAACCAGTCTACAAAATTATCTATAGTTCTGATAAATTAGCCTCGTGTTACACGTTGGTTTCAGTCATGAACTTTTGTTTCCATGTTTTTTTGCTATTTTCTTCGCTGTGCTCATTCCCCATTAAATAGGCATAAATAGGCATAAAGTGAATCCCTCATAACCCAATAACGGAGCTGGACACCGATCATGCAACACAAATCTCCAAAGTTGCCGGTTTGATCACGTCCTTCTGCAAGTTTCACAGCCTAGAAAATCCCATAGATCTGATCGTTGCCACAAAATCTGCATTCAACAAATTGTCGCATTCGAGTGTTCGAGTGCAGTTTTCTCGTCCTTCAGATCATTTCCGCGATCCTTGATCCTTTCCTGTTCTACACGAGCCTTCGTCACGGCAAGAGTATGTCCTCTTCCTGTACAACGGTTCGCAAGGCAGAAGCTTCTGGTGCAGCACAACGGGTTCCGAATATCCACCGATCCCCATTCTGCTATCCATTTTGGGATACGAGCATTCTCCACAATCTCGTTGTCTTCTTTCGTAATGCATTTCACTTCACGAGTCTCAAAGCTTTTTCCTCTCCAGCACGTCAAGATTTACGCATAAATGTTGACGCAAGTTTGCTAGGGTAGACTCTATTCCTCGAAGTGGATAGTAGAGAATCGACTATATGAGCCAGATTCGAAGAAGGTGCCCACGATATTCTTTGGCTTTCAGTTACCCTGTTTCTGGGGATTCATGAGTACATGGGACGCCATGATTCTCGAATGAAGTGTGAGCGATTCCTAATTTGGATAAAAATGCTCTCGCTCCGAGCTCTAGGCAATGACCGTATAGATTTGAATGTTGTCGATGGTCAACACTTGCTCTGTGAACTGCTTGTCTTATAGCTTGTATCGTTTTCTGCCATATCTTCGTTCTTTCCCTACAGATGTATATCTAGATTTTGAAATGTTAGTGTGGATGAGTTAGTTACCATCTGCTCGGTGCTCATCTATATTTCTAGTCCGAGGAGCACCTCAGGATCGAACAAGGATTAGATGTTTAGCTATCGATGCGCAATTGTCTGATGTTGTCAAAGTCATCCATTCTTAAGTTTACAATCTGTTATTCGAGATCCATGTTCTATTTGCTAAGTGAAGCTGCACATTTCGATCGTAGGATTTCCTCACTGGTTCATTTGTGATTTCAGTCTCCAATCTCCATATCCAAAAGATGCCAACCAATTGTAATCGTACGATTTGTCTGTTGCTCTTTCCAGACCTTCATCATGACAACATCTTAGACATCAATCGTTGTACATGATTGTATTGCACTAAATCATCCATCTATTATTGCGATCATAAGCGACGTCTACTGTCGACAGAAAAGACTGAATGATAAATATGACGAACTGTGAGACGTTCATCCACATAACCGGACGAAACACCCGCCAGCGAAGTATTTCGATGCAGAGGGAAGAATTGCTGCATCGACTGCATCGATCGCAAACAACATGCAATTTCACAATTTATGGTCCTTGTAGCAATCTATGAGACTCTCCTCGTAGTGTAACTTGGTCCTGAATCCCTCTCTTAGCCACCGAGAAAGCTCATACTCGAGATAACTATATGAAAATTTGGAGCAAGTGAATCGATGCACACAAATTGAAGCGTTCTAAGGACAAATTCACAAGCTCATGACAGAAAATTTGAAGAACACATCGGGAATCCCGAGCAGAAAGTAGGGATGGACACTGGGAGGACATTGCAATTTCGACAAGCTGAACACCGAGTCGCGATTGCGCACAGACACAGAGACGAGCTCATCTGATGTTGACAGCAGGCTCCGGTTCAGGGTTGCTGTTGATTCTCTCCGGATTCTTGAGCAGCCGGTTCAGATTTCTGCGCGCCGCCGAAGAAGCTCGGAGGTGCGAACCACGCTGCGATTTTATTCCCGCGAACGCCTCGGTGCTTCTGATAGCAATCCCAGAACGCTTTCTGCGACTCGGAGCAATCAGCCGTGAACCCTTGCCTCAAGCAGCTGACCAAAGTGGCGTGCGGAGCGCTGCACGCGGCCAGAGCTTGCTTCTTCTTGTCCTCGTCGATGCTGCTCTGGCCGATCGGCTGTCCGCCCCATCGCCAGAACGACTGCTCGCCAGCCGATTTCGGTTCCTCTGCTGCTGCTCTGGCCTCCTCTGCTCCGCCCGACCCTTCGCTCCGATTCGGATCGCTGTCGCTCGAAAAGCCCTCCCGGCCCTCGTCCTCCTTCATTCTCCACCTTTCGCTCGATGGACGTCGTCGGGCGGAAGAAGGCGACGCTTGTCAATGGATCGGCAGATTTTGCAGCTTTGTTCGTTCGATGCGATGTGCCTTCGATCGCGTTAGGCAGATTTCTCTTTGATCCGGACGGTGTGTGGAGTAGATACAGTACTAGACAGTTCCGCGATGAGCTCGGTCAAGCACATCGCGCGAGTATGGCATAGTGGGGTTTCCCTCCGCCATAAACCCTAGAACTGCAGTCCAGCTTTCTCGCAGGTACGAGGAACATCGTCGACGCCTTCAGCTCGGGAGGGTCTGCTCGGATGATGTGACCCTCGATGCTTAATTGCTCGTCTCGAAAGACGATGCTTGAGCAATTCTTTCGGAGAGGTTGTGGGCGGTTGCGTGGGTGGCCGATCATGGAATCTAGTGGCACGAAAGTGTTGAGGAAAATCATGCGAATCGATCGATCTGCTTCGGCACATTCTCTCCCCAGTTGCAATCTTGAGAGCAGTGCGAGGCGACTGGTCTCGGGAAGTTCGAGCCTCCCGATTACTGGAGCTGTTGAATGCATCGAGATGTACATCATCGTTCGGAACCAGCCAGCAGAATCTTGTTCACTGATCCAACCGACTGGATGTTCGTTTTATTCCTTCAAGGCCGGTCACTTCCGGCAATTTCCAATCTATCGAGGAGAAGTTGTTTCATGAGAAGTGTCAGTCCTAACATCGATCAAATCCGCGCTTTCATTCAATAGATTTATACTTTCGGTCTTGAACTTTCTCCAAAGGACCAGAAGCCATGACTTTACGAACAACCCCACGACTGGGGCAAGTTGTTTGATCAGGAAACTGACACAATTTACTGAAATTTGCTAGCTTATCAAATGCGAAGGTATTCATTTGCAAATCGTGTCCGATCAGTCATCTTAGGATAAAGATTCGGAACCGATTTCAAATGTCTAAACTGACTCTTTCTCTATTTGCCGAGTAAAATTAATCACGCCTACAGAAATCAGCCTCGAAATCACACCCTTGACACCAGAGTTGTACCTCAACAACGCTTTCTTATCGTAGAAGTTGTACAATTGACGCATTTATATACAGTTGGAGTTCTGACCCTGACACAGTCAACCTAAAAGCACGTCGAAGCTCAAATCACATCAGAAGCAAACTGCAGCAGCTCGACCATCTGAAGATAATCAACAAGAATCTACAATCGACTCAACGACGTAGCCAGAGTAGAAATTCCAGCCAGAACTTTGCGACCACCGGCCTTGCATACATACGTCACATTGGCACGAGATGCATCGAGCCAAATTTCCGTCGTCAATTTTTCTCCGGGGTAAACATGAGAAAGAAACCGGCCCTGGAAGCTCTGCATCATGCTGGGGTCTCCATGGCAGCAGCTTCGGATGATAGCCCGAACAGCGTACCCGTAAGTGCACAATCCCATCATGATTGGCCGCTCGAACCCTGCTTGAGCAGCAACCTTGGGATCTGTGTGTATAGGGTTTGCATCCCCAGACAGCCTGTAGAGCAGCGCCTGCGAGGTTTGGCTCTGGTCCTCGACGACAAACGACGGGGCGACATCGGCGGGTGCCGATTTCGGTGGCGGGCGGCCTGCGTTCTTCAGATTCATGGTTCTCTTCGAGTACGAGAAGGGTTTGGCAGATGGAGAGAAGCCTCCCGCACCTCGCAGGAAAATGGTGTACCTGCAGAGACTCAGAAGATCCCCGGTTCTGTCATTGTAGTTCATCACTTCCACCTCGACGATGGCTGCTTTCTTTTTGTCGTGCAGGCCTGAAATTCTCTTCGTGCTTCGGCCTTTGCAGGAAGTCGGGATCGCCTTGTAAATCTCCATGTACTGCTCTCCGTGGAGAAGCAATGTCTCATCGTAATGCAATCCATCTATGGAAGCCAAAGTCTCCATCATGGAGCCTGGAATAATCACGGCGAAGGACGGCAACACCTTGAGGTGCTCCAACCCTTTCGGATTGTAGACGAACGGAAGCTCCACAGGGTCGACCGGATCAGGACCCGGAGCTCCCACTCCCAGAGCATACAGAGCGACATCTTTCTCCGTGTACTCCCAGAATGAGTCGGGGATCTGAAAGCGGAGAACAAGTTCAGGATCGATTGATGCAAGTCTCGCCATCGCTATCGACCACCAAGACCGCCAATTGCTCCTGCACAAGTCGCAAGCTGAGACTCACGAGGCTGCTATGTCGATGCAAATCCTCCTCCTCGTGTCGGTAAGTTGTCCGTCACACTTGGCGCTCGTCTCGCTGTACTGATAAATCCGCGCTCCTCTGCGAGACTGCGATCAGTCCCTGTAGGAAAATGCTGTGGCCGGCGTCAGGATCACGGGAGCTGCTGCCATGAATGTCGGTAAGAAGCTCTTGCCAGGGTCTTAACTTTTCGCCCACTCTGTCGTCGCCTGTAGCAGGTAGACACCGTCAAGCGCAGACCTTTGTGAGTTCTCGTCGGCTGGGCAAAAAAAGCTTGTGCGACGATGAGAAGATTGAGACGTACCATTTCAGCTTTTCCCGCATTTCAGTCCAACCTTCACACGGACCCACCAGCGCAGGACTCGCATTTCTCGTGCAGCGGAGGTTTTTGGGCTTCAGTCGAGCCTTTCCCGACCAGGAGCCTCGTGTCTCCACTCCATGATTCTAACTCCATTCCATTCAGTTGTGAGCAGAAGTCCAAGCTTTTTGTGCGCTGGAACCCCACGAGAAAGCTTTTCTGATAATAATAATACATTTCATCTTAGAAGCTACGACTGTGCACGAGCCTTTCCAAGAGATTTACGATCGCAACCACTGACAGTGGAATAGAGTGTTTCCAATTTCGTCAACGTGCTGGATTGTGGCTCACTCATGACTCTGAACAGAAGTTGATGTGGCCCACCCTTAACCGCTCGTGACATTCATTTTTATTTTCCATGAAGGCCATGGACAATCCAGTTTCGTGGCTCTCAAGGACGTGCGTTGTTGGTTCTCTGTTTTAATTCACTACCAGGATTTACTGAAAGGTATGACGAAACTGAGCAAAAAGTTTCAGTTCAGTGTGCTGACAGTTTTCAATGGCACAGAGCGAGGAGAGGATGATCATTCGAATGTCCTTGTGAGAGAAAAATAGCGGAGACTGACATCAACGAGGCAAATGCGATTGGTCTGTGTCAGCAAACTGGATAGCGATCACCGCGAGCACAGGTGACAGTCACATCGAGTGTTTCCACTTATTCATACCAGGCTTTATACACAAAGAGAATAAAGCCATGCTCAGTTTTCCTCGACAGATATTTTATGGACACCACGGGCCCAGGAAACCAGAATGTGTACAACACACGGTCTGCACAACGATACTTGAAACATCGAGGTTCTCTTACACGGCCATTATGCATTCTCGTCACCACATATTCACAAGACACGAAGAGAAGAAACAAATTTGGACACGGTCTGAAACTAAAGAGAGACCCTAATTTCGGATGCTCTCTACTACCGAACGAACGAACGAGCTTGGCATGTTCGCCATATGTTGGATGCTGGTGTGCATCTTGCATTCGGTTAACCACTCGGGAGTCTTGTGCCCTTCCTTTCCTGCACTTGCTGCCGGACTTCTTCGGCCAATCAATCCTCCAGAAAAAACTCCTTGAACGCGACACCGAAATCCGGTTGAAAAACCCCAAGAAATGAACGAGGAATTGACACTCTCGAAGGCCACAAGAGCGAAACGAGACATTTGCAACGCAGAGCAGAGCAGTCAGACCCATCATGAATTTGCCGAGGAGAACTCGCGTGGCAATAATCTCAGGCGACTGAAAAGATGGGCACTCCACATTTTCACCTGAGCTTCGAGGATGATGCTGAGGATACGATCGAGGGATCGATCAACCTGTGCCACCGTTGGCTCTGATGACCTGACCATTCACCCACTCGGCCTCGGGGCTGACGAGAAATCGGACGAGAGGCGCGATGTCCTGCACCTCGCCCAATCGGCCCATGGGGCACGACCGAATGAAGGAATCGATCCACTCCTGCGACTTGCCGGCGTAGAACATGTCAGTGGCCGTGGGGCCGGGCGCGATGCAGTTGACAGTGATGCCCTTGCCGGCCATTTCCTTGGCCAGGACTCGGGAGAAAGCCTCGACCGCGGCCTTGGACGCGATGTAGCTGCCATACTTGGGCAACAGAGCGCCGACGCTGTTCGAGCTGCACGTGACGATTCGGCCTCCGGGGCCGAGCCACTTCTGCGCCTCCTTGCAGACGAGGAAAGTGCCCTTGGTGTTGATGGCGAAGACGCGATCCCACTCCTCCTCCGTCGTGTCCTCGATCTTGGGATAGTTGCTCAGCAGCGTTCCGGCCATGTTGATGGCGAAGTCGATTCGCCCGAATTCTTCATTGGCCTTGGAGAAGAATTCCTTCACATCGGCCGCAGAAACCACGTCCACTCGCACGGCTATGGCTCTCCCGCATCCCTGCGTCGCAGCAATCTGCGACACCACTTCGTTCGCTGCCTCCGCGTTCCCTTGGTACCCCACCGCCACCGACGCTCCTTCTCGCGCCAGATTGAAGCAAACCTCGCGCCCAATTCCTCGTGACCCTCCCGTCACCACTGCCACTTTCCCCTTGAACGCCATTTCTGCACAATCTCGCTCTCCTGCCAATCTGCTCTCGATTGCTTTACGATCACAGCGATTGCAATTCGAGCCCGTCAAGCTCGCAGTTGGTGCCTGCCACGAACATCTGTCACGGACCGCATGCCGACGAGAGATCCGACTGTGGAAAATCCAGGCATCGTCGAGAGTCGAGAGTCGAGCATGGATCATTTATTTGCATGCAAGCGTCATGGCCACCGTGGACTGACTTCTTCTGCTGCTCATGGAGCTGTAGTGCACGCTTTCTACCGGGAAATCATTCTCATGAATCCTGATTTTGTTCTCTTCCCAATTTGGTACCGAGAATGTGCATTCTACCTTGGCATCTATTACTGTATGTTCATCATTCTTTATGTTCACTAATATTCCTCGTTCCTCGTACTCTAAGGCTGTAATTCTCTTGATATCTTGCGCAGACTTGTATCGTGGCTAAATCATGACAGTTTTAGAGATTTGTCTTGTTTTTTTTTTCTGTACATGAGATGTGAAATGCACAATTTCATGTGGAAAATGAGGTATTACTTCAGATGTAATTCTCGTTGATATAGTTCGGATTTTTCAGCATTATGCCATTGATCACATTAATAATATGCCTTGCACTTGACTATATATTGGGGGAGATAAATTTGGTTTGAGGATTGACAGTAGTAGTTTGGATAATTACATTTCATATATTTAACACAAGTATGAAGTGGATCATTCTTCATGAATGGGCTACGAGTGGACCAGGGTACTGCACCATTTATCTGCACCTACAGAAGGACTGATTCTATCCTTTCACTCGACTGGCTGTGGTGGTTCATCACATTTTAAATATGAAGTTTATTATGATGACACATGTAGCTCTTTCTACGGTCTTTCTTGTTTCAATCTGAGTGAAATCGAGTCAGTGAAATCGGTTTTTTTCTGTTGTTGTGTTGTGATCTAGCCAAGTCACAACACGACAAAGTAAAATCATTCTGAAGTGAATTTTTGATGAATATTCATTTAAGGCATACAGAATCTATCTGAAATACATCGTTGATTCAATTGCAATTTGTTGAGTGATTTAAGAGGTTATGTTTTTCCCGAATTACTTTGATAAGACTATTAAAAAAATAAGAAATGTGAAGATGGAATTCAATATTTAAGACCATGTAAAGGAAATTCGGAATTTCACGTGTAGGTGTTCAGGAAGACATCTTACTTAGTACAGTAGTGATTGCTAGAGGGAAAATCTGACATAGCGTTGAGAATAAATTGATGATAACTCAATAATTTCTTCTGCCAATGAGTTCTACATGAGGCTTCAAAGTGCATGCCAACCAGACTTTCAAAGCGTGAAATTTAACCCACTTCAATGTTTTCCATAAAATAAAAAATTCTATATGAAAGTCCTCCGGTCAGATCATATTGAATACCCACCTTGCAAGAGTACCTCCCTGGCCCAAAGTGCTAGGAATGTGGCATATTCCTTAGTAACCGTTGACCCATCTTACTCCAAAGTAGACTATAGAGAACAATTTGGAATAATAGAATGCAAACGATCAACAAATAGTCTATCTTGAAAGCGTCAAAATATTTGAATAATCATCCATCGAACAAGTAATAGAGACTTTGCAATAAGATACGGAAGAGGCATCAGTAGGAACGTCTCCACGACAGCAACTGGAGCCTTGGCAGTTGGTCACTTATGCGCCAATCCACCAACTACTTGCTTTAATAGAAGTATCCAAACCAGAGAAAATGAACGTGGATAACAGTAGTCTGTCTACATCGTTGGTTTGCCTCTCAAAGCTGTCAAAGATCCCGCGCAAGGAACCAACCTTTGCCATAGCTGGAGTTCTAGAAACTCCATAAGATCGAAAGAGCGTTTATAGAAGGACCTCTTGCGATCCTAGAGAAGTTGGTTACAACGGGGCCCACACAGTGGATCTTGCAGAGATCCTGCAGACTGTATCGTTTATGCACACAGTGCTCAACTCTAAATTAGGTGGTGGTAGTGACACTCGTCCCTGTATAACCTTCGCTGCTTTCTTCAAAAGCAGAATGAAATATACAATGTTCTGAAATTGCCCATACTACAGGTTTCGATCAGTATTTCGTCATACACCTCTTGTGCAACCACAGTTTTTGCATATAGAATGCCGCTTCAGTGTTTTCAGTGTCACTTGGATCACACACCTGAAAGACGGATGAGCATCAACCATCTTCCTGGCAGGGTGAAGGATGCAGGCTCTTACGCATCATCTTCGCTTGAGCTTCCGTCGTCATAAATATGACCTGAAGGTATACACTCCTCCCAAAATAAAGTTTCTTTCCATCGGGGTCTGCAGGCGAAAGTCACACCTCCTCAGATGTTGTGTACTAGTTGAATACAAAAAAAAGGCAAACTTTGGTTTGACCTCTTCGTTATTTGGTTCCTTGTGCTTCGCCCATACTTTCTTGAGAGTCACATCAAAGTAATTCGACCTATTGCAGCCTTTATATACTTTATTTCTGTACAGTGGTATCTTAATTGACAACAATCTAGTACTTGGAGGTGCTTTCCAGAGTCCCCTCAAATTTCGGTGATCTCCATTAGCATTTGATAGACCCATTCCCTAAATCATCATGTGGGGCAAGTGAACATTGTACATATCAGTAACAAAAATGTCATTTATTTAGTAGGTCTCGTGGATGGGCCAGGCCTTGTGTCTGCATTGTCTGGCAGGTCCACCCCCATGGCACCGAGAAGATTTGTAGCTGGCCCAGGCATCCCTTGTTGGAACATGAAGGATCGAAGCAAACTTTCAACGAGATTGGCGTCCACATCTACCAGATCATTTTCATCATCAGGTTCTGGTTCAGCTCTTTTGTCATCTGGTTCAGGTTCGGATATTCCAGGAACTTGTGATACCTGCATGCATAGCCAGATATACGTCAAACCTTCTGTCAAAACAATTTGAGCATAGCAATCGACAAACTGATGCCAAATACAAGATCTCCGTGCCAAATTGCCTGAAGTGGACCTCTAATTTATCCTACATAACTAGGCATCTTTGCACACCTCCTTCCTGAATTGCTGCAGTAAAGGGATGTCATCCCGCCTTCCACATATTTGTATTTACTATTTGCTGAAATTTGACGAAGAAGTTGTGGAGTTTCTTACCATGGACTTCTCCTCAGATGTAGCTGCTTCGTTTCCTTTCGCAATATTATCCACCTCTCCTTTTTGAAGAAAACTCTTTACAAGGCTGGAATGTCGTAGCTCTTCGCCCATGACTGATGAATACGCCTCGGTAAACATGGCGTCCGCTTGATTGGCGGTAATACTCGCGGGAGTTTGTTCGTCCTCTAATTCCACGAGATAAGCTTTGCTTGTATCAGTGGTCATACGAGCCATATCCTCTACCTCGTTCTCATTGTCACTATCATCCTCTATCTCATCTGCCAGTCAAAACAGTGAGAACTGTAAGCACGTCACTCTTTTCTTCAGGAATATAAAAACCACCAAATCAAAAGGAGAGAAGGTTTCTGCCTGTGCGAGAGATTTACCTAAATCTGTCTCTGATGATACGTCAGAATCATCAGGAACACCCTGCATGGAAAACATGCTGGCTATATCCTCAGGACTGAACACCGAGCCCAACTCCTTCAAGAGTTTGCTCATGTCAAGTGAGATCGAATCGTTGTCATTGTTCGCCCCACTAATGTCACTGCTAACAAATCAAGACTAACATCAGAACGTAAAATCCGAGACAAAGCGAAAAGAGAAATGTCCTTGCAACTTATCATCGCTTATTTCCAGATTCGTGACACCTTTGGTTAAAGTAATCACATCAGCGGTACTCATGACTAAGACAGTCACATGTATAAATTATGAAGGCCTGGCAACTCAAGAAAAAAAGTCAAATAGCGTTGAGTTAGAACGGTAAGTGCGAATCAGCTCATATCAGTAGGTATTGACACAGAGACCACTTACTTCTGAGCAGGAAATTCAGCGCCTTCAAAACTTGAAATCTTGTTTACAAATGACTGCATACTTTTGACAACTTCTTCAGCCTGGAAATCACCCGTTTCTTCTCCATGGGTGTCATCATCTCTACCTTCATTAGTTTCCGTTTTTTTATTCGCACGTTTGGCCTCGTATTCATCCATTTCATTCTGTCGCTCCATCATAACAGCGTTGAGATCTTTCTCTCCATCATACAGCCAGCTGTCGCTATCACTCGCTTCACAGGCGGCAGCTGCAAAATCACTTGCCCCATGTGGCAATGATAGCAATTTCTCCGTCCGTTTCACCGGGGCACTCATGGCCTCACTGCAATAGCAAATTCAGACTTTAAGAGCAGGTACGTCACTCACAGAACATTGTGCACCATCCCAGTGAGTAACCTACAGACCATGACAAACAGCTGACACTCAATGGAACGGAGGCCGGTCTATCCTACGACTCGCAAAATGTGTCAGCTCGCAAAATATGTACAATCTCAAGCAACAGCTTACAGCGAATACCTACAGCTGAGGCAGCCCCAGAGTGACGACGAGTCACATGCGCGACTTAATCATATCACACACCAGCTGTCTGACAACTCAAAGGTGAACACCTGCCACAATCACCGCAACTAGCTGCAGAATCATATACCTCACACTCGCAAACATGTTGGAAGTGGAATACTGCACCACAGCAGCTTGTAATAATTCGCGATATCTCGCAGATCCCTCAAGAAAGTCTCTGAAGTAACCATTCTTCTCGAGATTTGCCTTAAACGCTTGCCAACCAGCGTCATTGGTTAGAACTACCGCTTTCGTGTTCGTTGAGACTCTTGACGCAAAAGTTCCAGATCCTTGCTTCCCGTCGATTTCACCGACGTTGGCCCCGGTTTCATAAGCAGAGCGCTCCCAATACATGATTTCAAAACCGACTGCAATTTTCATACCGAGTTCAGCTTCCTTGACGATGGACCCTGTAGAATTCGAAGGAGGCATTGGATAGCATCGAGGAGCCTGGAACACTTGCTGCACGAGTTGCGCGTACATCGCTCTCGACATACGCACCACTACATCTACCATTTCTACGGTGCCATCCTGGCCTTTCGGAAGAAATTTCTCCATTCTACTGGCAGCTTTCATCGCATCCATGTCGCGATTGTAGAATGACTCGACTGCTATGGAAATCAACTGGGGCTCGTGCCTGAGGATCTGGGCCACTGGAAGTGGAACTCTACACCTCGCTCTATGAACATTTTCCAATGCTTTCTCCGGAAACTGCTTCATGCGGTGCATTATGGTATCCATAACCTTCTCTGACGCTCTTGTACTTACTCCGCCACTTGCAAGAACCTGCAAAGCCTGTTTCAAAGGAAGCTTCTCACCGATTTTCGCAAAACCAAGTGTACCAGGCGTAGGGGGCACGAGGTGGACGTGACCCTGACGAATGAACACCCGATTGTGACTGTTCTCCGGCTTTATAGCCTTGGGAATGGAATAAGCGGCCTCTATGAGCAGAAACTCACCATCCGAATCCCTCACGGTGATCGACACGTGAGGAATTCGTCGAGAAATTTCGAAAAGGAAGAAAGTCACCAGCCATTCGTCCTCCAAATTGTCTCCATACCTCACCTTTCCGAACAAATGAGGAACAAAAGATTCAGCGGAGGAAAATTCCTCGCTCTCGCTCTCCAAAAACTCTCTCCTCCCCTTTCTTGAGGGCACAAGACAGTCCGACGGAGAGGCACAGACGCGCAAATTGAACGTCTCATGCTGCCAAATGTACTCCCCTGCGGCGGGATACGCGACGGTGAGACATTCGGTCTGAAGCTCCTGCAGCTGCCCTTTCACATCAAGCACGCTCTCGACCAAATCCGGGAAAATACGATAAACCACAACCTCCTCCTGCGCCTCCTCCATCGCCGTCACAACGAACTCAAACCGATTCCAACAATCTCATCGCCTCACCAAATTCCCACCACTTCTCGGAGCCGTGAAAAACCCACGAGGAAAAATGATCACCCCTCAGCGACCCAAAACCCCAACACCCAATTCCCAAATCCCTGCAGCTCGTCTCCAGATTTCAAGAGATTTCCCGCACACTTTCCGTTTGAAGAGACGTTCCGCCCGCGCCCAATATTCCTCCTCGCGCAGCATCTGTACCGCCACACTGCACAGGCGAGCCAGAGCACCAACGCTTCGTGAGGACGCAACCATGTCATTCCGCCTACCACAGTCGCAGTAGCCTGCAAAGCTCCTGTCACCGTCTTCGGTCCATTCAGTATTCCCGGCTCTGTCGGAGTCCGGTCTGCCCAATTAAATCAGGAAATTCGAGAACGGTGAGGCGACAACGCGTGCAATGAAAAGGAGTTCTGTATAGCAGTGAAAATCATGCCTATCTCGATTTATATTTTTATATTTAATTTCCATTCTGCTTACTCTAGTATCAGTTATCAGTGTCTAGCTAATACAACCTGAATTGCTATACTAATACTGTATAAGTCGTCCGACTTCATCCTTGCGAATATTGGGTATGGGGATTTCATTCGTCGAGGATTTGTCCAACTAACCACAGTAGTTTACATGTGTGAGCAAGAGGAGCAAATCAACCACGATCAGTGATTAGAATCCATGAGCTGATGAGTGAATCTGGAAAAAAATACTCTCGTGCATAATGTTTGACATCTTTCTCATAAAATTTTAGTTCTGTAGTGCCAAATACCATTTAGGATTTTAGTTATATGTCAATAATCACATTTAAGACATACCCATGGCATTTTCGACGAAGGTTTGATTGTAAACGACAGAAGTGGAAAGTGGCATATACATTGAGTTTCAATTGAGAGAAAAAAAATTCGTGTAACGCCGTTTCTGTGATGTCTCTCAATGGTTTCTGAAGAGAACAATTAAAAAATATCGATATATTTCTTCTTTCATAATCATATTAATTACCTATCAGTGCACGACGAAAGTGGAGCGGATGGGTCAAGTCGTGAAAGTTCCCGTCTCACATGTCAAAGACGCAATCAAGACTTCTCCGGCAACCGTGTACGGAATGCGACGTCCGGAGACGAGCAGCAGAACGTATTTGTTGTGCGACGACTGCCGTCCGCACGGATACTATGAGACTCCCCAGCAGCGATCGTAAACCCTACACCCTGGTTCGAGGGCGAACCACGTTCATGCCTCGGGGATTCTATCCTCGTGAGGAGCAACCGGCAGCTCTCGTTGGGGACTGGACTCCGGAGGCGCATTTGCGGTGGGATTCGGAGGATGGACGAGGTTTTGGAGCTCGAGGACTGAACGAGAGACAGTCGGGGAGCAGAATTTGGGCAATCCCGCAGCAATGTCGCTCGGGCTGGGTCGGCAGCTGTGCCAGCGGCCTCGTGCGGCCCTGGCCATCGTCGGGCGCTTGCACCAATGCCGCGAGCGCTGCAGCGAGAGGGTGACATTGCACTCCTCAGCTCCCCGCCAGGCCTCGAGGACTCTCGTCTCGCGGACCGACGAGGGCGCCGGGCCTCGCTCCTCGCGAGCGGGCGCGACCAGGAGAGGGCGAGCCGGAGGCGAGACGAGCTGGGATCGCGCCGCCGAGACCTTCTTCTCGGACGGCTCTGAAGCGGATGGCGAGCCCGGCGCGCGGACGAGGACTGCGTCGTTCCAGACGAAGGAGGACGATTGGCAGTCGAGAAATCGAGCTCCTTCGGGGCGAGAGGGACGCGATGGGCGCGAGGGGCGCGACAGCCCTAACTCTGAGGGTGCGGGGAGGACAAGAATTGCGCCTTCGGATTCACGAGAAGCCGACTGGGAATCGAGAAATGTAGTTCCTTATCGTGCGGATAGGCGGGAGCGCGATGGCGAGGGTTTTAGCAATCCCCGTCGCAGATCTTCCGCTGGAGAGCGCTGGGGAGGCGAAGGAGCTCGACGGGACAGCCCGTCTACCAGCTCCGGAAGCCTCAGGGATGGCGCCGGAAGCTCGAGCAGGAGGCCTATGTCCTTCCGCGACCGCAATTCCGAGAGGAATTCTTCTGACAGGGGGAGCGGAGCAAGGGAGCAGCCGTGGCAGCGACCCGCTAGTCGAATTCCGCCCAAGGACGATGATTTCCGAAGTAAAGGGGATTACGACCCGAACATTCGAGTGGAATCCATGAGTAGGGGTTATGGCAGGGCTGCCAGACCGAGCGGGGAGAGCAGGTGGAACGAGGTGGGAGACAGACCACGGGACGACAGATATGGCGATTCGGATGAGTGGCGCTGGCGGGCAAGGGAGCCTACTCCTCCCCTGGACATGGAGGGGCAAGCCGTCTATGGAGTTGCTCCGATAGTGAGCGCTCTGCAAGCTTGCAGAAGGACCTTCTACACTTTGTACATGCAAGAGAATTTAGCCCAAAACCTCATGACTGGAAAGAGGAAAGATAAGCAAGCTGTATCATGGATTCAGAACAAGGCTCGAAGCTTGGGCGTGACTGTAAAGGAGGCTTCCAAGCACGACCTCAACATGCTAGTGGACAATCGACCCCATCAAGGTCTCGTACTAGATGCTTCACCTCTGGAACTAGTACCCATCGATACTCTCGATGCTCCCACGTACGATGGAGACAGAGCTCCTGTGTGGGTTGCCCTGGATGAAATCACGGATCCTCAGAACTTTGGTGCGGTATTGAGATCTGCGTATTTCTTGGGAGCAGATGGTGTGGTGGTTTGTGCCAAAAACTCTGCACCCCTGAGTGGTGTAGTTAGCAAGGCAAGCGCAGGGGCTTTAGAGGTGATGGATGTGCAGTACTGCCGGAGCATGGTGAAATTTCTCGACAAATCCAGAGAGAAGGGATGGCGAGTCCTCGGTGGTGCCTCAGAAGCGAGCTCAGTGCCTGTGCGAGACCTTCCTCGAGGTATTGCAACTATTTTAGTCTTAGGAAACGAAGGCAGGGGTATGAGAACAATGGTGAAGAGAAGCTGTGATGAGCTAGTTTCAATAGAGGGTAAACTGAATAGCCGACGAAGCAAGGGCGAGTATGTCTATGAAGCAATTCCCGATGATGAAGATGAAGATGGTGAAGCCGAAGGTGAAGACGAGTATTCTGAACGAGGTACGAGGAGTGGTGCAGAGTTGGACTTGAATTCCGGGCCAATGGCCGTGGATAGTCTGAACGTGAGTGTTGCTGCGGGAATCCTCCTCCACGAGTTGATCATGCCCAGCAGACAATTAGACAGCGGGCAGAGTAAAAGTTTAGAATAAAACCGTCAAATTATTGTAAACTGTCAACTGTGGGATGTCAAAACGTGATGATATACTTTTTCTTAGTTCGCCTCTGAAAGCCTCCGACCCACATTTTGGCAAGAACTTCAGAATCACTATTAAATCATAGGATTTTCAAGTTGTGGCTATTTCTCGTGAAATTTGGCAGCATGCTCACTGCCCAAGTACAGAAAACAGTGCCTGGAAATTGTGACCAATCTGAGTCTGCAGTCATAAACACAGACTTCCTGACTTTGGTGTCATATGCCGTCCTTCAATAAACACGAACATATTCCACCTCGCCACAGCACACTCCAGGCCCTTCCAACTTTTGCGCTACCAGCATTTACACAAAACTAAACTTTACTTGTTAAGCTTACCATCGGAGTCAAACGAATACACGCACCGGAACGTCACGAACTAAGCGAGCTATCTGATCATGAAGCCGTAGTTTTGACCGAGTTCAAGCACTATATGTTAGATTACAATTCAATAGATGCTAGTAGCACGTGAGAAACGTCTCAAGGGAGTTAGAGAGTTCATTCTTGCTGCAACGTTTACTTCATCCTAATTTGATCTATGATCGCTGCTATAGTTCATGTTAAGATGGCACCAGTAGGTCAACACATTTGAGATACATGTGTTGCTTGTCGACTTTAATAGGACATGAGAAATACAAGTGAATACTGGATTCATGTTATCTGGCTAGAGTACTGTTTTCAAGCGTTCAAGAATCACATGACCGTAGTGGTATGAGTCGCGCGGATGTATTATGGTCACTTGGCGAGTGCACAATATGAACCAAATGCAAAGCCAATGAATCAAATTGGCAAAGTAGGGGCTTGCACTCTTTCCAAGCTTCACGAGGTCAACTACATCGAGCTGAGCGATGAATACGTGGACGTAACGATCGTCCTTTGATCGTTTAGGAGACGGTACTATGCCAGACAATTCAAACCAGAGATATGATCCTGCATTCAACACATATAACCATGGAATCTGGCTTGAGTCAGGTGTTGCACTAATACATTTGTAAAATAGACACTTGGTGCATCAAAAAACGTTTACTCTATACCTACAGATCTACCTCACATGTAGAACGTGTGGCATGTTTTGTTTGAAACTTCAAAGTGATATCTATCATGATATCTTCCTCATGACAAGGGTTTGACTTCTTCTCTTCGAATGAGGCCTTTCCTTAGAAGTTGAGAGTTGATTTACGCTGACCGGGTTTCAACTCTCAAACCCGTTTCAGAAGATAATGAAAAAACGAATTATCCTCTTTACATCTTCATGTTTTTACAGCCTGTTACCTTTCCACCCAGATTTTCAAATGTGTCAATGTTTCGGTCTTTTGCAAATCCGTCCCTGCTGCTTGCAACATTTGAGACATACCCCGTATGTACAGACTTTCGATCCGTAGTTCTTACAGCCGGCAGTTGGGCAGCTGACCTGGGTACGTTTTGGTGGTTGGAGTGGTTGAGGAAACTGCAATCCAATTGGTACATTTTCTTTCAATCCAACATGTGCAGTTGTGTACTGATGAAAGCCGTCTACTCTCCGTTCCACTAAGCTGGGGTTATTGTGATTCAGTCCACCTCCTCCAGAAGGTGGACAATTATGATGATGATAGCCGTCGAATCTCCTTTTCCCCACACTGGTGTTACTATGAATTAGACCGGCATCTCTTCGTCCTGCTCCAACCGGTGGACCGTTGTAATGGTGAAAGCCATCTCCTCTCCTTTCCACTAAACTTGGGTTGTCATCTCTTCGTCCACCTACACCGACCGGTGGACCGTCGTAATAATAATAGCCGTACACTCCCCTTCCCAACCCACTGTGGTTGCTGTGATGTAGTCTAGAATCACTTCGTCCGGCTACACCAGCAGGTGGATTGCTGTGGTGTTGATAGCCATCTACTCTCCTCGCCACATCACTGGGTATATTGTAGTTCGGTCCGATATCTCTTCGATCCGCTACTCCAGCCCGTGGATTGTTGTGTTGTTGGTAGCCGTCTATTCTCCTGCCCACTTCACTGGGTGTAGTGTTCTTCGGTTCAACATATCTTCGTCCGGCTACTCCAGCCGGTGGATTGTTGTGGTGTTCATACTCGTCTAATCCACTGGGTATATTATTTTTCAGTCGGGCATCCCTCTGACCGGGTAGAATAACCGGTGCGTGGACGTGCGGTTGATGGGAGTCTACTCTCGATGAATTGGAGTAAGTATGTCGTGGCACCGTCTCTTTACGAGGTGGAAAATAACGCTGTTCATGAACCATTGGCACCTTAGGAAACGAGCCCTGCTGCGAAGGCTCTCCCCTTCCTGCATTTCCTCTTTCTGTTAGAACAAAGGGACTGAGTTTGCGAGTGTTAGAAACGAGCAGTTCGGAGATGAGAACATATCCATGATAATAGCTATAGCTTTGTGCATACCTCCCAGTAAATGTGGTTGAGGGTTTCCACTGACTCCCATAGCCACGTAGGGGTTGGGGAGCTGTTTTTGAGTTCCAGTAGCTGCCTTAGGGCGACCGGAAGCTTTTAATTTATCTGCCTTGAAACCACAGATAGTTAGTCAATTGTGGTCTGGTGGAAACGGTGATCGAAACCATTAGAGCAAAGGTTTCTTTACCAAACTACACGTACCTCTCCGAATGGACCTGGCTGCGGCTCCTCTTTCATGTTTCTCATCGAGACTCGTCTTCCGAAGACTTTCATCTTCCCATTTCTGCGTGCATGTAAACCATTTTCAGACCTTTCACCTTTATATCAAAAGCATTGTCCGTCGTAGTTTTTTAAATTATTCCAAACTTTCTCTTGCTAGTAGGCTGCAGAAAGCTCTAACTCATCGTGCATGTTATGCATCATCTACAAACACTGGCTAGTGGAGTTGTATCTCATGCATGGATCCGTTATTCGAACGAAATAGCTGATCTTGAATTACCAACCTGCCTGTAGGTTCTGAGCTTGTAGAGGTTGCGCCCTTTCACCAAGAGTTGACGCATTGGTGGTAGAGGCTTGTAGCCAGCACTCCACAGAACCTCGACCTATCACATGAGTAACACATAAGAAGAAAATGTATCAAAGCAGTACAAAGGATCCCAGGCTATAAAGAAAAGAAACATAAGACACAATGTCCATCGGCGTTGCAATATTCCTACCGTGAAGGTGTGCTGTTGTTTCTTCTCACCATAACTTTCCTTCACAACTCGACCTACAACTAAATGCTCTCCAATTGCTTCAGCACCCTTCCTTGGTTTCCCCCTGAATTGGATAGAGAGAGTTAATAAGCCCAAGGTCCATTCTCCTTTCGAACTTGTCTTAAGCGATCCTACAATAGCAGTCAAACCCACACAAAACAGCAGAAAAACTTACGCTTTATAAACCTTCCGCTTGAATTTGACCACATCTCCTTTACAAACATCACCTAACATCCAAATTGAAAAGAGTGACGACTGTTAGTAGCTCAACGGGGTTGACGATTTTAGGGTTACTCAGCAAGTTGTTTTCCGATTTCCTCACTTCCGTCTTGAAGCCAAACAGCAAGTTGGTTCCGAGAAGCATAAATTAAGAACATGAGGGTTTGAAATGAATGACCAATTCAAATCAACCCATGTGGAAGTCTTCCACGGTTTCTTTGCGGTAGATCAGTGGACCTCTTGTTGTAAATAAGATGCACACGGGTGTCTATGTTGAACATGAAACATAGAACAAGAACCTGCATTTCAGGAATCCTGGTTTAGGTTGAAATACTGCGTGGATACATCACCTAGAATCGTGTGACGAGGATGGCAGGAAAAAGGAATGAAGTTCCACCAGCGGGAACTTACTCCGGAGCCATATAGTCAAGACAAGCTTGGAACCTCGGTAGTATCAGAATGTGCTTGTACAAGCAAATCCCAGTAGAAAAAGGTCCCGAAGGTACCATAAAGCCAAGAAGAAATGCAGTCATTTTGCAGCCAATATACACACTATATAGGAATGGTATATACCATGGAAATAATTCACCCAAAGAAAAACCCAAGGTGATCATGATTCTTGGAATTGTACCGGTACAATTGATGGTGAAAGTTGCTGGACGATACTTTTCCAGAGGGCCCTGCTTCAGTCTGGGATCAATCAGATTTCGATCAGCATTAAGACGGGAGGAATCGTCACCATTCTATGTCCTTCTGAAACAAATCCAAAACTTACTCCATATGCTGTTTAATCCTGTCGATAAGAACTGGTTTATTCCCTGAGATCCGCATGCCGTGGTGTCGTAGGTAGGAACGACAATTATCAAGAGTGAGCTTTTTCGACTCATCTCCGTCTGTGGCCATACAAATCGAACTTACCATTATTATATGTTTCTGATTTTGCAATGTATACTGTACAGGCCAAACTAAGAAAGTTATAAGACCAAGAGATCCTGGAAAATACTGACTCAGGAGTACAAATACCCTAGACAGCGAGATTGAAAGATGCTGATGAAAGACTTGCTACATTTCAGGCCCTACAACATGAGGTCACCCGGTGATTCCTGATTGTGAGTTTTCAGACTGTCAAATAAACCTCAAAATGAGGTACCTTTGATAATCTGTAGCACTTCCTGAGCAACCAGTGAGTTGATAGAATCTGAAGTCTTAGCTTGAGCGACCTCGCTCTCTTCATCTTTCTCTTCATCTTTCTCTGTTGTCAATTCATCATCACTGGATAGGTCCATGACAGATGCTTCCTCCTCACTATCATGATTGTAGTCACTATCGCTTTCGCCTTGACTACAATCATCGTACTGCTCACTGTCACTGATCATACACAGAATCTAAGGAAAATTAGCATGAAAAGACGGACAACAGGAGCTGAATCATGAGAAGAATTTGAGCCGATGACATGTCTAGGTTCCAAAAAACGGTACAAACGAACTCCAATGAATCGATTCAAATTCAGAGAGCGATGTTTTAACCATACCGAGCAAACAGAATACAAAAAACTGAAGACTGAAGGGAACTCGCCTGCTCAAGTTGATCACTTGCATTCCATGAACAAGCTCTCGATCTGAAAATGTTTCAACTCTTTCGGCTTCTGCAATCTTTGCTTTCACACCATTTGCCGTCACCACCTTCGGTCCCGATTGCACCAACGCTTGTAAAAGCGTTGCTTTTTGCCGTGTAATCATCTCTATCAAAATGTATTCTTCAACTGCAGGATCAAATTACTGCAACTAGCAAAGTGATACCCAGTTTGGAAAACGCCAAAAGCCCAATTTGTGTAGAGAATCCAAATAGTGAACAAGATACAGCTTCCATGTTTCTCTTAAAGAAATCGGTCAAGGTTCAAACTTCCAAGCATTCAATGACACTCGGCGAAATCTGGTCTCAGCTCCGGGTAATCAAATTCCTTAACCTTCTTCCATGAAACAATCCATTGTCTGAAGATATCACCAAGTCCTGCCAGTTCGCAGCTTGTTCTTCAACAACACACATCCTCATATAGTCGTCTTGGGAAGTCCTTCCGTTATCAAGGTTCATCTCTGTACTAAGAAAGACATCGTCCTTCGTCTACGAATACCGTAATTTCAAGCTTCAAACCTCCACGGCGTCACCACGATGTGCCTCTTCTGCAACAACCTGACAACATTCAAATTTACGTATCGCCTTAATCGCAATTTCCCTCAATTTCCCTAAAGATCCAAACTCCAGCACGCCTGACGAGGCTTTCTGCCATTCTTACTTTCTCCTTTTCCTGTTATGGGATCTTTCATTCCACGACTTCTTCATCCGGAGCCGAAGAAACGACGAAAACTTGCAACACTGGCTCCCCACCGAGAAATAAGCGCGGGATGAACTTTTGAAGTCAACGCAAACGGTCCGCCTTGTCGTGCCGAAATTCGAATTCTCGTCGAACCAGATTAGGGCTGCGGTGCAAGAAGAGCCCACCTTTCCATTTGTAGAGCTCTTCCAAAATTATTCTCCCACATTTTAATTCTTGGTACCACATCGAGGTTACGCATCCTATGGGTTCGGAAATGCAATGGTGGACAAAAAGCAGATGATAAATTAGATTTTTTGTAGAATATAATTCACAAGATACGTAATAAGGTTCAATTTTCTACTACGAATGATATTTTATTTTAGACTGAAATTTATGAAGAGCTAGAAGTTATTTCTATTCATATTTTGGTGAATTTTGAAGATCAAAATTTAATCATTATTGATTTCAGTAAAATAATTTGGAAAATCATTTTAAAAATATTAAAAATTAATATATTCATAGTTGTTAATGATTCAAAATATAATATAATAAAAAAAATTCACGAAAAAAAATAAAGATGGAATTATTACATAAGATATATAGCGTATCTTCATCGCACATTATACCAGAAATCACCAAAGTGCATTCACGACTTCACATCTAGAACATATTCCACAAACAAGCTAGAGGTGCAAGGTTATAAGAGCAAAAGACCCTCTTGGTAAATCATACACATGTGGCTTTACGAATCCAACATGGAATTTAACCTTGTAACACCAGCAGGCTTTGGCTCCAACCAAAATTTTCAAACGCATAACATTAAGCACAAGATACATTTGTATAAAACCGAAAATACAAAATGCGTTTCATCTTCAAATGGCTAGATTACACTACAGTAGTTCGAATATCTCAAACTCTCATTAAAAAACAAGAGGACATAGTAGCCATCACTTTTCTCATCACTACACTATCGTGTTACCTAGACCCTGGTCTCCCGTTACCTTTTTCTCTTGTTCAGGGTCTTCGCCTTGCTTTTCATTTCCAAGTGGCCCATAACTTTTCTCACTTTTCAAATTTCAATATGTGAAAAATTTACAAAACACATCCTTTGTACGACCATATAGATCACCATTCTGCTCCCCATGTCACTCCACATCACATTGAGTCACATGAATTCACTTCTTAATCCTTGATCATCAAGTTCATGCACATGGTAAGACACAGCAAAGCACGTGATCACAATCTCTCTGTACTGAGCTGACGCACTAGGACAACATCTGCTCCCAAAAACATGTATTGTACGCGACCAACGATGTACACATTCTATACATAATTGATAACATGTCTCCCAAACCCATTCACCTGCCTAGACCCATTCCGACCCAACATCACAATGAAATTCCAACAAAACCACATGATTATTGAAATCCTTGGAAATATCCAACCACATATGTTCAATCGAGTCTAAGTACCACAAATATCTATACTGCAAAGGAACCACTAGGGCTTGCTCAAGCTAGGACATGAACCTTCATCAGACAGACAATGCCCTCTCATCCTGGTTATCTCCATAACAATTTAGTATCTCAGGTTCAGAAGAAAAACCCATGCCAATAAATAATTACGGACTTTTTAGAAAAACCTTTTTTAAACTGATTGCAAAAAACATGATGGTGTCAGCTAGGGTTGGAGGCACATCCAATTTTTTCGAGGCATGCCCGTGACCCCTTTCGAGGTCAAAAGGCATGCCCCATGCACCCAGGCATGCCCGTATCAAAATACATATATTTGTAAGTGCGTTTGTATAATGTATGTCTGTGAAAATGAAGCACTATTAGAAGTAAAACGGCTGAAAAGCTCTGGAAATACGTATAAATTTGTTTTTACATACGGGCATGCCTCGTATGGAAGAATGCGAACAAGGCATGCCCCCTGCCCTCGCCCGGAGGCATTCCTTTCAGGTTGTGCCTCCGACACTAGTGCCAGCCCTGGTTGATGCCGAAGACAAAGGAACGAGGAACGAGGAACGAAGGACTATCGGTGCCCGGCGACCGGCCCGACCGGCGCTCCGATGCTGCGTCTGCAGGCGAGGGCAGGCGAGGGCAGCAGGGATGGGAAAGTGGTGCGGAGTGGGAAGGGGCGAAGCGACGCTTTTCTCGAGCGCCAGCGAGCGAGCTGTCCGACGCATGCAGCGCTCGATGCAGGAGTGCGACAAGCCAAGTGCGTTCGGTGGAGTCCGCAGCCAATGGCGCTCTTGCACAAGTGGGAAAGTATCTGTAACCTGTCGTGCCGTTCGTGAGCGGGCGAGTCAGTCGATCACATTTGTCAAGCGCGAATGTCTTTTCTGCCCGACTGTCCCCTCCTTCTTCTCCTCGTTGTCTTCGGCCCGGGCTGCGTGCTCTGAGGTGAGTGAGTCACTGTGGATCAATTCTCGACCCCCGTCGATGGCCAGGTGTGATCTGCGCTCGTTCCCGTAATCTTTTCTTGCGAGCTCCGTGCGTCGGCATGCCTAACTTTGCGAGTGATGAGAGTGCTCTTTGATCGACGTCCTATCTGATACTGATTTGACTTTTCTGTTTCTGAATTGCAAAGATCTTTGTTTCTATCGTTTCTGTTTTGGGTAAAGTCCTTCGCTTCCTGGCCGAGGTCTGGACCCTGTCTCATCTGTGGACCCATCCCCCTGTTCAAACTGTCTAGCTCGGGAGTACCGGAGTTGAAGCGCGAGGCTATACATTCTTTATCCATCACGTAGAAGGTCTGATCGTTCTTCGCTGACTAGTGGTTGTGGGAGGAAGACAGTTGTCTTACTTATGGATGTTTCATTCTTCTTCGAGTCTTCACTGGTGCCTGAGCGACAACTACTTCCTCTTCAATATCTGTCTCTTTCTGCTTCATGACATATGGGACGGAGTGTATGCTTCAGTTTCTCTCTTCAGCAGGGCTTTGAATTCGTTAAATTCAGAGTTAAGTCGGAGTTGAATTCCAGTGGGAATCATGTTTATCTTGGTCTTCTCAGCGTTCCTTCTTGTAGGCTTTCGTGCCTGCATTGTGTTGCAGAGGAACGTGTGGATGGTGAAGATTGTACTGCTCTGCCTTCAGAACGATTGAAGACCAATGCCAAGCTTGTGCTGCTAACAACAGTCAGTGACGAAGGTGAAGATGGAATAATTTTTGTGTCCAAGCGGCGGATATTTTGGAGCTGTCACCGTCCCGAGAAGCTGGCAGAGTCCTGAAACAGACTCTGTTATGTGTCGTTAGGGGTTTGTGGGTACCAAATGGGGTTTTGGATCTTTTCTCTTCTGCGCCTTAAGAAGACCCATCTTATAAGTGGTGGCTACTGGAAGGGTTACAAGGGTTTCAATTGAAGAGATTCCGGAGCCCAGTAAGGTTACACATGTTTGTGCCTCGTAGCTTGCGTACTTCCGCGTCCACGTCGAGCAAACTCCTGGGTTCTCCTGGTCGGCCAGATCCATCACTGCCAGCAACCTGCGGCAAGTCTCCGACAGTCCCCTCGAGCTCTCTTCAACCTTCCCCTACATCAGTTGTAGCAGCGAGCTCAAAAGTGAATGCCGACCTAGGGGCTGTTGCTGGTTTCTCTAGTCCGCCTGTAGTTTCTTCGGGTCAGTCATGCTCGTATACGGCATCTCTACCAACAGCTGCCATCGACCATGTTAGTAGTATTTCACATCCGGCAAATACGCAATCTGCTCCAGATTCTCATCATCGACATGGAACAGTCTGTACGACAGCGGCCACTACTGGTTCCGCCCCCGCAGAGAATGTAGAAGTCAACAATAGCCGAAGTGACATTCAAGGTATGTAGGGTTTAAGGGTATAGTACTGAAATTATTACTTAGACTATCATGTGCAGTTTGGATCCCGTAGAGTAACTGATGTGAGGAGCACCAGATTGACTGGCAGTTGGCAAAGAAAATGTGTGATTAAGGTCTTCATTTAATGAAATCAAGCACGTATTGCTTCGCGGTTCTGAGCGTGATGCTGGTTATGGAGAATATTGAAATTCTGGTATTAAATACAATGTTTTAAAGTATGCTACCGGGTAGTCAATTCAGAGAATGGCTGAACCTTTTGGAATCTCTTGAGCAGACTGAAGCGCGCGTGGTGGCTTTTCAAACCTGATTCTATCCTTCTACGTGATGCAGAGGATCCGATCGTACAGAAGAGCATTGATCAAAGAGCTGCGGAGGCAGATGAGCCGACCTGCGTTGTTTGTGGTCGGTATGGGGAGTACATATGTGACGAGACAGATGACGACGTATGTAGCCTGGAGTGCAAGGCCATCGTTCTTCAGGGGAGAACAAATCGCAACGAGGCAAAAGCAGCTTCTCCAGATGCTGTTCCAGACTCGATTGCGAGTTCTCAAACACAGGGCAATGTTCGAGTTACTCGCAAGACTAAGGTGTTTTCCCAAACTGATCTGCCATTCATGGAGGATGACTGCTTCATCGTCAAAGATGGCGAACAGCCACTTCCAGATTGGGAGCCTGATGATGTCGTGAAAAGAATGACCCAGCAGGAAGTAGAGAACTTGAGGAGACAAATTGATGTAATTGTGCAAGGAGATGATGTCCCAAGACCCATCTTGGAGTTTTCAAACTGCAGATTTATGCCTAAGCTTCTCAGTAACCTTGAGAATTCTGGTTTCGAATCTCCTACATCTGTGCAAATGCAGGTCATCCCTGCAGCATTGAAAGGCCGTGATCTTCTGGTTTCTGCTGGAACAGGGTTAGGGAAGACAGTAGGTTATCTGCTTTCCGTGGTGTTCCGGAGCTGTCGGATCAGATCTCACTTTCTCGTGGACAAACAGAAGCCCTTAGCAATCGTGCTTACTCCCACGAGGGAGTTGTGCGTTCAAGTGGAGGAACAAGCCAAGGCTTTAGCCAAAGGTCTTCCTGTCAAAACTGCTCTTGTTGTGGGTGGTGATGCTCTGCCACAGCAGATTCACAGGCTGAAGCAGGGGGTCGAGTTGATAATCGGAACTCCTGGAAGATTGATCGACCTCTTCTCTAAACATGAAGTGGATCTGGATAATGTTTGTATGCTGGTACTGGATGAAGTTGATAGCATGCTTGATAGGGGCTTCCGTGAACAAGTGTTGCAGATCGTTACAGCTTTGACACAACCTCAGATATTGATGTTTTCAGCTACGATACCACCAGAAATTGATGTGTTTTCATCCTCGTTGTTGAAAAGACCCATTCGAATCTCTGTTGGCAAGACCAGTGTACCCAGTGAATCTGTGAAGCAGACGGTGATCTGGGTGGAAACCAAGAACAAGAAGAACAAACTTTTTGATGTTCTACGCAGCCCGCATCACTTTCGACCTCCTGTTGTGGTGTTCGTCAGTTCGAGACTGGGGGCGGAATTGCTTGCAGATGCTATACAGAATGTGACGGGATTGCAGGCAGCAGCTGTGCATGGAGAGAAGTCCATGCAGGAAAGAAGAGAAGTGATGGGGTCCTTTCTCACGGGCAGCCTGCCTATAGTCGTTGCCACGGGAGTTTTGGGCAGGGGATTGGACTTGCTCAGAGTGACACAGGTAATCATTTTTGATATGCCATCATCCCTTGATGAGTACATACATCAGATTGGAAGAGCCTCAAGGCTAGGTTTGCCTGGCTCAGCAATGGTTTTTGTCAACGACGAGAGCAAACAACTTTTCAAGCCTTTGATCGAGATTCTCCGGAGCTCAGGAGTCGTAGTGCCAAAAGAACTTGCTAGTTCCCCGTATGCCGTGTCTTCCTATGCAGCTGCTTACAACCCGAGGAAGAGGAAGGCCTATACAAATAAGAAGTAACTTGAAGCTAGACGACTGACATCACGGAAAATGACCACTTGCAGTACTACGTGTGCGGAGTGAGTCCCTTCCCTACCTCATACTGCTACTTGCTTTCCTTGTAATGACGTTATGTCCGGGCCATTCATGCAATGCCTGACCCCCCATTATTGATGTGTACGCAGGCAGAGCAATACCCACAGAGCAGGTTCCTGTTTATGCACCTATCAGGTTCTGGATTACGAAACGATGGCAAGTCAACCTCTCACATCTGTGTATACAGTTTTTACAGAGCCTTGAGACTCACGGGATGGAGACTAGACGTTAAGCATTATAGAATGCGTCCAGGGGTGCTCCCTGCTTCGGCCCCGAGAATGATAAATACGAAAGCGTTCTTTGCTGGATCGGCACTGCCAGGCGACCTGGTGGATTATGTCTTGCGTTGTTATATTTTGTTACGAATAAAAGTTTTGTGCTTTCTACCGCACGCATCCGACCACTGGCAAGGGTCTTAGTTTCACACTTGGCGTGTCAAAAGCTTGTACGTGCTTGACTGGACCGCTCACTGTATTGAGCAGTTCTTTGGGATTTGGGCTGAGAAGTGGAATGAGGCGGAGAACATCACCCTCCCACTCAAGTGGGTAGTCCCTACTGTTTGAAACTTTGTGACAGAACGAGTAATTCATCTCTCGAACGAACTTCTGTGTTGTCGTGATTCCGCCAAGATTTAGACTAACCGGTTGTTTTTCGAATAAGATAAATCATCATTAATCGTTCAGTTTCATTTCCTCTTACAGGAGACATACTCACATATTAGCTTCTCGATCCCCAGCTCTTTTCATCATACCCTTCTCATCATACCAGGGGATGATGATGAACCCCTGCCGTCTGCACGACACTCGTTCATTTTACGGATCCAATAATGGTTCAACTGAGATGAACGTTTTGAATGTCAAGACCTTCAGGTATGTGTGTTTCGCTTCGGGATGCTCGGTTCGTCGAGGTAGGATTGGTGAAATACTTGGAAACAGGATATATCAGAGCTTGACTGTTAAGTTGACATCTATCCTCTGTGCCAACGCCCGTCTCATTGAACAGGTAAAAAGCAATCTCATTTTACTCCCATAGAGTGTGCTAAAAATCTGTAACACACTCAAAATAGGCGGATATATGATTCAAGAGGAGTATGTTTCTAAAGAAGCGAAGGTGGTTCAAACCTAGAAGCTCAATTTTGCACGCTTGTCCAGCCCTGATCTGCTTGAGATTTCACAAACTCTGCCAAAGCACGAATATCCTCTTCACCAAGCCGCGGCCCAAACGTGCACTGACCTCTAGGAGTACACTTCTCACCATAGCCCTGCGTCAAGTTTGCCACATGCCGATTTGAGGCCAAAGCAAGCAATAACTGAATACGGACGGCGGCAGCATCGGTGCAAAAACTTGTAAATGCATGTAAAAGCTTGGCGGGTTGAAATACGTACTGGCATACGATTCTTCCCGAAGTATGTAATCTTAAAGATGTCGTCCACTGTACTTAGCCCATTCCTGTATTTGGAAGCGAAAGCCGAAACCTCTTCAGAACTGGAAATAATAGGCAGACTCAGGGCTTCACTCAGGGCTTGCAACATCAACCTGCGGAATACAAGGCCGTAGAGTTTGCATGGTGACGTACCTGTCCAAGTCCTTGTTGAACAACGTCGCGCTCTGGTTACAGATACAGAAAGCAATCTCGTCAAAGATCGAGGGGGATACGAGTCAATCAGCTTCAATCTCGACAGTATGAGACTGAGACCTCAACTTCATGTCTGAAGCGGGTGCTCAAGCTCATACAACTCACCGAAGTCGAGCTTCGCTGTGACGGAAAAGGCGACTCAAAGAATCTAAGTTCATGTGACTTACAGGCTGTAAAACATTGCCGCCCCCCGTGTGGCATCCTGCACAAGTGCGCTGGAAGAGAGCTCCCACTTCTACTCCATCGAGGGCGATGGCTGCCCCAACTGCTCTGGGCGTTTGATCATCCAGATATCAGCTTGATTCAATCGCATTCAGATAATTACAATGTTCCAAGTTCATCGTCGTGTCCATGCTTGTACTCTGACATCATGTCTGCCAACAACGCATGTAAATTGTGGAACTTTGGTGGAAGCCACGGACCGTCAAACGACGCCGATGTCAGTAGAGCTGCAGCTCCAAATGCAGTCACAGTGGATAAAGCCTTTGAGACCTGATCACTCGAAGCCCAATTCTTGCTGCTGCTAAATTCATCGTCGTCCTCCACATTGCAGTTCCTTCCAATCACTAACATGAACTGAATTTCAGGCCAACTGCATCGATATCACAAGCAACACTCCGTAGATGCACTATGACCAAAAGTCATCTAATCAAGCTATATCCACATTGCAATCCAAGAAATCTCATTCTCTTACTTAGAGCACTCGGAGTCCGATTAGTAGCTGTTACTGATATCTTCCGAGTTGAAATTCCAGCTGACTTCGCAGCCATCCTCTCTCCGGATGCTGTCGGCGAAACCGCGATGGCTGGCCCCACGGAAGCCATCGCCATGGCCATGTCAGATTAGCCTCGAGTGAAATTCAAGTCCTCGATGAATCTTGCCGTGATCCGAGTCCGGATCGAAATCCGTCGTGGAGATCTTTCCTCCAAATTCCGCCGAATCGAAATCAAAATCTCTTGGCGACAGGCTTCACAGCTCAAAATCTCCTCTTCTTTTCTTCCGAAGCCGAATTCAGAGCTAGGAGCCAAAACCTCATCGTCGTCCTTCCGAACACAGAATTCAAACCACGGGGACGAGGTTGCATCGTGACGTCTGCAGGCGTTTCGGGAACTGCGAACGATGACCAGGTTTGGTTCCCGAGCCACCTGGAGAACCACGTAGACTCAGAAGCAGCCAAACTGGACCGTGGGGAGGAAACAGCAGGGAGAAGCCGGGAAAGGCGGGTGTGCGGATGACCGACACGCATGTTGTCCTGACCTGAGAAAAGACTGACGTTAGCAGGTGACTTCACCTGAACGTGATGGGTCGGACGAGAATAGGGAGGATATGGAGCACACGATACCTGCTCCAGGAAATGTTCCGCCAAGTCCCGGTACGAACTCGGGTCCGGAACTACTCTAGTCCGCCCGCCAGTGGGAGGGCTTCCCGGAAGAGTCGGTGATGATGCCCTCCGATAGATACTCGGATCATCCGAGTATCTATCCTGTCCCGGTTGCTTAATCTGGACTTTTCGAACTGCAGGTTCAGCCTGTAAACATCCCGTGTCTGCGTTCTGCCGGTGGACCCTTGCCTGCCCTCCCTGCCGGCCCTCTGCCCTGCTGTGAAGATTCCCGGCAGGCTCATTATTGGGGCCGGTCGGCCGGTCCCATCATTCATTGCCGGTCGCATCGCGCCATTTAGTTGCTCCCGCCAGACATTGTGCTATCAGACTCTCGCGCTTTCAGGCCTGGAAATTATTATTATAAATAATATTAGGGGGAAGAGTCTGTTCATTCTCTAGTGTTTACGGTCTCACGCAGTCACATGACGGCTCCGGTGTCTGTGATCGTGTGACATGAGACTTCTGCGGTAGAATGTAACTGATGGATTCCCTTGCTTGTCCACAGGTCCCTCCCTCTGTTTTCGGTTAAGATTAAATTCAATCGAATACTGATACTGGAGTTTACCGATTCTCTTTCCATTTTCCCTCTTCGCTTAGACGTCGGCATCTTCGACCAGTTTTTTGGGCCTGATTTGATTTCTTCGAATAATTTGTTGAGCGAGCATCCAGCATTACGTATACGGTGGCGTATTTTAAATACTCCTCAGTTCAGCATTGTCTATAGAAGATTCACATATTTTGCTACCGTGTGATTAGCTGGATATGATTTCTCTCTCTAGAACATTTCTTGTAAGCATATAGAGATAGCCACGCCATAGTGAAATACGTGGAGTTGTTTGGACCATGATGTATTGGAGAAAATTCCGTTTGTTCCACAGGAATCTAACTGAAAGAAATATCTTTTAAGGATGAAACTAGGATAACAATGGAGCTTGTAGCCGTATAAAAAATCAGCATTCTCTTGTCCATCGATCAATTTAATGTAGGTGTTTCACACGCCCATTCCACGACTTTATGTTCGATTATTTTTGTCATCGCAAGGCTTATAGTCCTGTCCTGGCTTTCCCTTAGAGCTCTGTAAGCTGCAGTATGTACGTATGCAATAAGAAAGGATGGATGCGAGTAACGCTAGAGGAGCACGGCAAGAACATGAAAGCAAAGCTACAGGATGATGTAAGCATGAACGGAGAGAAAATATTGTGAGAATACTTTTTTCATTAATATATGCCCAAGAAATTGGATCCAAACACTCTGGCTCGAAGTCAAGGTTGTTGTGCAGGAGAATTCCTGATTGACCCTCCCTCCAAGGCGAGTTAATGAGACAGACAGTCTCAATCATCCGTCACACTGGACTTTTCCTTTACTAGCACAAGATCTGGAAAAAGGATTTGAATACTCAAATATCTCCATCTTTATCATGCGTGTACATGTCATTCTTCTTACAGCAGTTATATAACATGCATACACACAAGTCATCCAGATCTTAATCTTCAGAATTATATGAGCGATCCATTTAATTCTTTAGACTTCTAGATTTGAACTTGAAAACTCCACATGAGGAGAGGAGAAATCCAAACGTCTCCCGATGATGTGCATGAGGAATATTCGGAATAGGGTGCAAATTCGCAACGCCATTTTGTTCCTTCACGGAATCTTTAATTGGCTCTAGCTTGTCCCCATCGTTCTCGGGATTATGTTTGCTTCACGTAGATCACTGAAGTCTCTTTCACACTGGAAAGTACGGGCTGTAATATAATCCCGTATTAATCAAACGATAGCCATAATCATGTTCATGTGAGCCAGTAAGGAGCCTGGTTGCTGGGTTTCTCTCCAGTCCTGCGAACCCTAGAGGTCGGACCGGTCAAAGACGTCCACTCTGTACTGTACTTGGCTGGCATTGTCCTACCTGCCCACGTTTACTAAGTTTAGCGAGGGAATAGGGAGTTCGTTCGCTGCTGGTCGTGGTTCCAAAAAGCGCACCGCAGAAGGCGCAACCACTGGAAAAGGCCAGATTTAATGGCCGAAAATAGAGAAAAAGCCCGGCCTCCGACGAAGATAAACGACCAACTACATCCTCAACTGCGTCCGCACACCTGCCTATCCGCAGCTCTGAAGGTCCCGGTCACCGAGCGTCACACAGAGTCCACCCCACCACGTGGCGCCCGCCGAGCAGGTCGCAACTCGCCCCGACCCGACGAGCGGTCGCCACGTGAGAAGGCGGTCGACGCCGGCGGGACTGTGGCCATGCGCCTCGAACCGAGTAGATGGGCAGCCGACGGCGCGGATCTTCCGTCGGGGCCCCGTAATTTTCTGACGCGAACGATGCCCGAGGCGTGTGAATGACGTCCGACGGCGAGGAACGAGCGACTGACTGCCTCTCGACTGCTCCTGGCGCAAATTTCAGCTCTTAGAGGCTGTCGGGATTCATTGGCTCCTGCAGAACGACACAATTCTCCAGTGCCAGCCGCGAGGCCGACGATCTCCTGTCTCTCTCTCGACGACGGAGACCATCGGCAGTAGCCCTGGCCTGCTGTCGCTCTTCTTTCAGGTATGGTCTTCCACTCCACCTCGCACTCGGGCCGACAGGTCTGCTCGGTCCTTGTCTGCGATTTTGCGGTGAGCTTCTGGCAGGATTAGAGAGAGGGAGAGAGAGAGATTGTGTGCGCGTGCAAGTGTAAGTGTCAGTGCGTTCGCTGATACAATCAGCTACAGGTAGTCGTGGAATTGTGTCTGTTGTGGTTTGATGCGTGGATTCGATGTCCATGCTGCATGTGTTATGGAGTGAGTGAGTGAGCGAGTGTATATTGTGGAGATTACCGTTGTGGATGGTCAGGAGACTTGTATATCTGGGTGTGAGGCTTGTGCATTTGGCTAGTGCGCGAGGCTTTGTTTCGAAGCGTGAAGAGCTCATTCTGCAAATGTTCAGTTGTGGAAATTGTGGATTGCTCGAATGTGCTTTTGAAAAGCAGAGTGAGTGAGGTCTTTGAGGCAAACCGATAGAAATCTCTTGCGGGCAGTATTTCTTTGAGAGCTGAGGTTCTAAATGTACGTGGATCGTTTCTCGTCCAGGTGTAGAACTTGTGGGTGAAGGAGGTGGAACGCCAGTGAAGGCTGACGAGCAGACCGATCGTTAGTTCATACGCAAGTCTTCTTTGGCCAATTGTATTTGTATTTCCGACCGATGGCTCGTCGTCAAGTTGCCGCTCATCCATGGCACGATCTGGAGATCGGTACAGCTTTGCCTTCCTTGCCTAATTGGATTTCACTGTTGATGGATCTGGACTGTTGTGAGAATTGACCCTGTGGGCCCTTTTTTTCTGTGCTTTGGTGGCAACTTCCAAGTGTTGAGGAGGAATCTGCGACATTATGTCAACGGCTTGACGTCAACTGACATGTATATGTTTCACTGTTTGTTTTAATGGCAGGACCTGAAGCTCCGGAAACATTCAATTGTGTAAGTCATCTCATCATCAGTGCATTCGAACATTGTAATTTCCGGGATTCTCAGATAATATTCAACGACATAATGACCTAAAATTGAGCACTCTTAAAAAATGTGGGTGTAGTCTTCACATGTGATAGTAAAGTCTCGATTCTTGTAATTGAAACGTGTGGTTTCTAGTCTCATGGTCATGATTAATTTTACGATGCAGGTGATTGAGATTGGAAAGGGAAGCAAGGTCAAATATGAGCTGGACAAGAACAGTGGTATGATCAAGGTACTTTTTCGAGTCTTATAATGATATCATTTATAGACAAAGCCGCTAAATTAGTTTTTTATTGTTGAAGCTATTTGATTCTGAATCTGAAGAAATATTTCTCGTTTCGTTTGGCAGGTCGATCGAGTTTTATACTCATCTGTGGTCTATCCTCACAACTATGGATTTATTCCCCGCACTCTTTGCGAAGACAACGATCCTTTGGATGTTCTCGTAATTATGCAGGTATAAGTCTCGTTTGGTTTCTTCTTGTGAGTTGGGAGGACATGAGCATCAACTCTTAGGTTCATTTGAGTACTTATAAAACATTTCCATCTGAGGGCATTAGTTATTTTATTAGTAAGAACTATGCTCACCAGCGAGTGTGAAGTGGAACTTGTGAGAAGTGTGATTCTACCAGGTTTGTTCTGATGTTATCGGTTAATTTTCTCCAGGAACCAGTTATGTCAGGATGCTTCTTGCGTGCCAGAGCCATTGGGCTGATGCCTATGATTGATCAGGTATGGTCATCTTCTTATCATGCGTCTTTTCAACCTTGGGTAGACAAGGATCTTATTTTTTCCCCCTTTTTTCCTGTTTTTGTAAATCTTCCGGTTGGCCACGAGCCACACGCATTGTACATGTGGCTGGTATATAAGCTGATATTGCTTGTCGAGGATTCGTAGGTTGCTGTGGAAGAGGGTGAGTTTTGTTTGTCGTTCATCCGGTTGTCCGTTACTATGTTATTGATGACTTTTTGATTGGGTTTTAAATTTACAGGGCGAGAAGGATGATAAGATTATCGCTGTCTGCGCTGACGATCCCGAATATCGCCACATGAAGGACATCAACGAGCTGCCACCCCACCGACTTCAGGAAATTCGTCGATTTTTTGAGGACTGTATCCACTAAAGCTTTGAAGGCACATGTGTGTTTGTGTTAAATGTGATGAAAGTGATAGTCGACAGTCTGGAGTCTGACGATCTGTTTATTGTATCGGAAGCATGCCACAGCCTTTGGCAAGTTGCCAAGACCTTAACTCGGAGTCTTACAGATAAGAAAAATGAGAACAAGGAAGTCTCAACCGATAACTTCTTGGACAGCAAAAAGGCTGTTGAGGCAGTCAGTCACGCTATGTAAGTTCCGATCATTTTCTTTGTCAAACATTAGACTCAGCAGTGTTTTGCATCTTGAATGTGTGAAGTGCGCTCAACTTGTCAGGGTGCCTTGTGCTTATTGGGTGAGGCTTTCTTCTTTTTTTTTATTGACATGATTTTTCTTTTTTTTACTCATCTTGCAGGGATCTCTATGCTGAGTACATTGTACATAGCTTACGCCAATGAGAGAGAAGGGAACGGCGTCTAGTTTCTTGATTCTTGAAATCAAGCGTAAACTGATTAGATAGAGTTTAGATGTGGATGTAAAGTTTTAATCTTCTCTACAATAATGTAGAATCCACTCCGAGCATCAGAACTAGTCGCATTTTGGCTCTTACCATGGAACATCTTTCCCCCTTTATATGTGCAGGGAGTTGTATAAGGCCACCAGCGAAGAAGCAGAGACTTCCTTGATCTCTGAATCTGAAAATCCGGGAGTCTCTTCTCTCGCTTAATATGATTCAATTTTTTTAGGACACAAATTTCGACCATAGAGTCTTTTGCATGGAGTTCTCTGCTTTTTCCAGGTGCCTGCCCTCGGCAATTTTGAAAGCTTTTCCAAGGGATCATGATTAATTGCATCAGGAGTGTGCTATCGACACGTCAAAGAATCAGATCTGTAAGGAAGCTGTCTGCTTTATGAGTTTTTCGAAGAGTGTATAGGAGCTCAAAACTTCGTATTATGTTGTTTATGAAATTTACATTGTGTTTCGAAGGCATGGGGACATGAGATATTAGTTTTGCCGTGCTTTGCGTGGCGGAAAATAGCGTGTAAGGAATCAAAGGATAAATTACTTTAACAGGCGAATAAAACAAGTGTACGCGTTAGTCATGCACTGAAGCTGGCTACTGCTCTGACATGAAAATTTGGAATAAAGACGAAGCTGACGTCTGCCCTTGAAAAGGTAGTTTTTTGTTTTATCCCGTGCCCATCTTGTTTATGATTAATGCGTGGCCTCTGGTAGCACTCTCTGTTTGTTTTTTCCACTAAGTCTCGATTGTAGTCTCGAGAGTACAGTGCGCAGGAATAGAAGTTTTAAATGTACAAGCGTCTAGAGGGTGGATGCTGTGGGAAATTGTAGTGGTGGTGTAGAACAAAGCGCTCGTCTAGTTTATTATGTGTGGGGTTTTCAGTAGATAGACGCGCAGTCGTCGTCTACTGGGGTGTGTTTATACACGAGACTTTAAACGCTGCGGACATGCAGAACGTTGGAAGTGAATGGTTTGTAAATAGCCCCGTGTATGAAATGGATGAGTCACTCCATAGCGTTTGAGTATCCTGCTGAAGATTCTAAGTCAAGAGAATGATTTGTCTGGATGTTTTTGTTGTGCTTTTCGATGCGTACCTTGGATGGAATTTCTATGTATCTACTCAACTTCGTCCATTGACGTAAGTTAGATTCGCTTATTTATACACACCCCTTTACTCAGGTTTGATTTTGCAAATTGGTATATTCTTCTTCAAGTCTTAGCCCAATACCCAAGCTGGGACCAAAATTCACTCAAATGCCATCAGTACCGGGTGGCCAAGTCATTGACGAAGCTCGTTTTACGTTCTGTGTTGTTTCTGCATTCTTTTCCTGCAATTGTACATTTTGGACTGTACACCTCGAACTTGTACAGACAACGAAGTGTAAGGGCAAGAAGAATTCGTCAGTTGAATGTTAAAGGTTGGACATTTCAGCCTGACAATTTAATCTTACGATGTCCTGTCAAATATATTTCACATCAGTTGTTCAAATTCACATATTTGGTGTGTTTCGCAGTACAAACTCTACAGTTCAGAAAACTTTTCATAAATTGGTCACAGCTATTGAAGATCACACCTCTACACGCCTAATCTGACAAAACTTTACATCCATAATATTTTGATGCTTGAAATGTTTGTAGTAATAACTCTTCATGTTGCTTAATATCGATCATCATAATAAACAACCGAGTACACCAAAACCCAAATTTGCGGTACCATAATTGTCGGAAAATGTTTTATACACATCAAAATATTAGTATATTTCCCATAGACTTAGAACCACGCATGTATAGATCTTCAGACCATTCGGATCCGAAGAACTGAAAAGGCAAGTACAATCTAGTATATAAGCAATATTATTAAGCTTGATCTTAAGTTGCAGAGTTTGTTATTGTCACTAGCCTCAACCACAAAATAGCGATCATACTCATTACTCGAAGAATGCTAGCAACAAAGTCTTGACTTGCTATTATTTATTCGACAGTCAGCATACAGGGAACACCTACATGTTAGCTTTGACTCGTGGTCTGTTCAGATATGTGCTTGTTAGAAGTTCACATCCCAACTCCTATAACGCAATTCAGATGTTGCATTGACCCTTCATGGAGTTTGAGATCTTCATGATAGCTCACTGGGCTTTTTGTTCTTGATTCCATATTGGATTAATTTTGTGCCGGAAACGTGAAGTCTATTCATAGATTCTATCACAATCCAAAAAATGCCACCATAATTTTGGATATACTCGACAACTTTAATAGTATTTCTATACATAATCATCTTACCTCTTCTAATCGTGAAATCTCTTCATTTTCATTGTTTTTCACATAACTAATTGTTGTATCAAAACTTCTATATGCATATCGTCTATATTACACTTCTTCATGATGCTATTATATATTTTTTGTTTGGCTTTAACCGCCAAACCCCTTAACTCCCAACCCTTAGTTCAAATAGTGATGCATATGTCATCACAACACTATTCAGACCTAATCACTATTCTCCTGTTGAGGTAGTCAGATAATTGTTTTCATGTCCAAATAGCCACACACCCTTAAAGTGCTTTGATTATATCAACATGAAGATGTTGTAACTTCGCATGCAAATAAGACTAACAATGATAATCATTAGTTATTATCGTAGTAATGTAGCGTGTTACAATGATCATCATTGCTATATGAAGATTTTCGTGATGTAAGAGGCATGATGGCAAATGCAAGAAAAATAATATTGAATAATGGCTCTGTACGTGAACTGAAGAGATGTGAAGGTGAGGGTAGAAGGATAACACATCGAGGAGGAGAAAAGACGAGTGAATCAGTGCTTTAAAGACCTTCGAAAATTGACAGAATGGAATTGTGTGATGGCAGAGTATTTGTAGATTATTGTGTGATGATTATTAGAGCAATTCCGTTCCTGCCGGAAATCAGATTCGGAAACAAAATTTGAATGATTTTTTCTGTTCTTTGAGTGTATTTTAGTTTTTTCATAAAACTGTAGTACTTGTCACGATTGTAGTGTATTCTGTACGCTCTCTAACAATATATGATAAGCCTATTGGTGATGTAAAATAGTGAAGATATTCAGTTCGAATGAGATCGTTTACAACGTTTCCGAATTTCCCTAATCTTCATTAGAAAGTTGAGACTACGAGGGCCTGGTCACCGTGACCCTAATGAACAATTAGGTACATGGAACCTGAAAGCTTTCGTCTAGAACTCCATGGTCAAATTAGCGCGATATACGTAAATGTGCAGTGAAGAGAAACCCAGATTTATTTCAAAGAGTTTGGGAAGAGTGTGCAAATGATGACCTACAACTACAAACTTTTCATTTGCAAATAATTGAACAAGTTCTTATAACTTTATATTTAAATTACCAATTACCATGTATATATATATATATATATGGTAATTCTGGAAAATGCAGGAACTAAGGTGATTCTGGCAAATTTTTCTCCTTAATTCTGGCATTAACAATGTGATTTCATTATTTTTTTGGTCGGATGGCTTAATGATAATAGTTTCGAATTGTTTCGCATGGATAATGTCCGCCAAGGAAAGTTTCATGATGATGTGAGAAATATCTTTATCCGACTTCATAATGGACAAGTCAATTGCAACCATCGTTATATTTAGAATCGCTAAAAGATTCACAATGATCAGAACAAACATGCTACAGATATCATATGAAAGAAAAAGAATTATTGAAAGATATGAAATGTACCTAAGAACTTCTATTCTAACCAATAAAATATTCACAATGATCAAAACAAATATATTATATAAATGGTATGAAAGAAAAATAAAATAAAATATACATGGTACTTTCTAATCTATCTAAGAAAAGACTCACAATGATAAACACAAACATGCTATAGAATTGATATGAAAGTAAAACAGTGTAAGGAAAGTATGAAATATACTTGGAAATTTCTATTCCGGCTAAAAGACTCACATTATCAAAACAAACATGGTTACAAAAATTATATGCAAGGAAGAAAGTGAAAAAAATATATGAAATGTATGCGAGTTGTATTTTTCCTACTTCTTCTCTTTCTTTGGTGCGCTAATTGCTCTCCACGGTTGATTTCGTTACACCAAAAATTTGGTCATCTATTCGCAAATTTGGGCAACTTAAAAATACAACGAGGTTTGAGATCCGCAGTCCGCTCATGCACTCACGGGTTGTCTCGCAAGCACGCATTCCTACCGTACCTTACTCTTCCCCACTTTCCCTTGACTGTCTGCGCGAGAATAAATTGGTACCATCTTAAGAATGTATGAAAGTTTGGCAAATCTGACGTCTAAAAATAGAATGCCATATTTTAGATGGTCTGCCTACAACTCCGTAATTCGTAGCAAATATTGAAACAACAGGTTCCAACTCTTCTCCAACAAATAATCTAATAAATTGTTGGAGTTTTGATTATTTGATATGTGTTGAAAATGATCACCCTACGATCCCGTATTTAATTTCAGTTGATCAAACAAGCCTTCCAAAACAAAAATTCTTAATAACTCTATATATATACACAAAGACCTAGTACAAACTACCATGGGAAAATGAAATAAATGATAGCCGCACAACAGTGACTGAAGTAGTAATGATAGCTTAAATCCTTGGGCGCTCAACAAGAGCACTAAGATTTATCTGAGATGTAGTTATGGAACCAGCAGAGAATTCAAGTATTGATGTAAATCACTTGGTCCTCGTATACAAGTGATCTACATCAATGTTGATGTAAAGTCATAGAGTTGGCAGTGGGTTGAACATACTGGACGCCATCTTAAGTCCCAAGGCCCACTCACTTCAACCCGACATCGACTTCCACGAACAGGGTTTACCAGTTACATATAGTGCAAATGTATCGAATCAAATCTCACTTCATAAAGCACGCAATGTCTACTGGGCAAGTCCTTTCAGATTGTCATACCCAGTTGTGCAATGATATTTGAAACAGTACCCACAGGTCACTTTGAAATTCATATAGTTAACCTGTTGAATGACAGGAAGGACTTTAATTCGCAGTCACGGTGTTGTAGTCCACACAAGCTTGGCTGTTGCAAACTATTGTGCCCGCCTTGAAAACATAAACTCGTTGGTCACTCCAGTAGACATAATGTCCATGAAATCACGAGCATCTCAACTAAACTCGAGTGAAGATCAGAGTCCATGGATAACCACGATGTGTACCATGATTATCTCACACACCCGAGTGAAGTGCCAATATAGATTTGACACCGTCGATGAGGTTCCCTGATCCCATCCCAGGAAAGCAACAGAAAAGCTGTAAGGACAGAGGTACTGTGAAACTCGTTGCAACCTTCAATGTCTAACACTGCCTAACCTAACGTGGAACGTAATGTGTAACAATAAGTACCAATAATTCATTCCTGATTACCAAATATTTTAGAAATCAGGAATGAATTATTTGCACACTGCTATCGTTGTCAGGCTGTCGATGAATTTTTACATCGTATGTTCTTCATAGGTTTCAATCATTACTTCTGTGTCGACTTCTGCGTCACTCTTTAGAAATACGTCAAACATTATGCTTCACTATCTTCTGAAGCGTCTCGTCTGTGGGTACAACCTTTCATAACCATTTTAACCTGTGCAATACTTTTGGCTAGAATGATCCAAAGCACCTTGAAACTTGACTACACGAACTCACCTGTGAAACCAACTCAAACCATGCGAGAACCTGCAAAGGTAAAATTGAAGTCGTTATGGGCAAAACCCACGATCACGAGGGGATTCGAACCCCCGACCTTCAGATCCGAAGTCTGACGCGCTAATCCACTGCGCTACGCGACCAGATGTCTACCCCTCCGAAATTTAAAAAATTAATCACTTTTACAATAGATGGTTTAATTCTGCAGCCCGTTCTATCCCCCTGTGATTGTCTTAAATTTAGCATGTTAATCATGTGAGAATTTCGTATTGAATTTTTATTTTTTATTTTTTCCTATCTTTTAACTTTTAATTTTTAATTCCATCAGGATATTTCGAGATACAATCTTCCTCAAGATCTCTGAGTAAATAAGAACAAACTTATTAGATCGAGAATGTTATTTAGGACGTATCGCTGGTCTGTTCTTTCTTGAGTGAGTTTTCCCGATGTAATTTCATGTAGGGACAAATATTATGCACACGTTTGCATTTTAAATTCCTCTACAGAAACATTAATTCCATTATATATGACACTTTTGACATTCTTACGCAAATAGTATATCTCCTCTACTTTTCGGAATACTTATGGAACTGTAGTTCTAGAATAATGATTGGTATCTTCAACTGTGTACTTGTTACTATGAAAATTCTATATTGAATCGAAACCTTTAGCGAAAATCGTGATTGAAATAGCTGTGAAATGTAATGCATATAGTAAAAGAACACCAGGACAAGCTTTCCAGACATATGTTTTAATTTCACTTCATATGGACATATATTTCGATACCAGGTCGGAGGTCACGTGTTAGCGAAAATCTAGGATCACGTCTTCAATGAAACCACCAATACGGAAGAAAACCAATATAGTCACATGTGGGTGCAAGAGTAGACGAAAAAAACAATTGTCAAAGACCCATGAAAATTATAAGACACTCCGAGAAATAAAATGCGTGATTCTAGAGATAGGAGACCCGATGAGCAGTTAAGAAAGACACCCAAAGCCCTAGATAGTTTCAGTGCTATTGATAATATCTGTCAAGACAGCATAAAGACCAAGTTATACATATAAAATAATATAATATCAGACAAGACGCCACCAAGTGAACAATATATAATCAAAAGAGAGAAAGATGTTATGTACCTTGAACACAGTGTGAATCTGAACCCGTTTCTCAGCCTAAACTTGCATGCAACTCCTTCACCCTCTGCAGAAAGACCCATGAAGGGAGATGAACTCGTGTTAGTACTGTAAATCAGAACTCTGACCATTTCTATTTGGAAGGCCGTCCCGGACATCATATACAAGAAGATAAGAGTTTGACCAGTTGACCTAGGATATCATATCACACATGCTCAGGTAAAGACGGAGCATGTCCGAAATGATCAGAACCGATTGTATATATGAGGTCCTGAGATAGAACGCACCGAGCCTGCTTTCAGTGTAAAGCCGAATATCCTTCATATGCAATCACTGGTGCGGGTCGGGGAAAACACCTAGAATCTCCGATGAGCGGCATCCGACAGCGAGCCTCAATCACAAAAGCCTATTTCGGAACATTCAGGCTGGCCCACATTGAAGGCTCGAGATCGACCTCCGAGCATATTCTAAAATTGGGAAAAGCTGTGACCAAAAGGTGTAGCCGAAGGTCGTCAAATCCGACAAACGTCACTACATCTTTTGCTACATTTAGATGTCCAGTAAGCGAGACGGGGGCCTCGTTCCGTCTCCATGTCTGGAGCCATGTCTGCAGTGCCAGCATTCGACATGCACCTCGACACGCGCTACGTGACACACAGGCTACATGAGGCGACATTGAATGCGAAGGATGGACGTAATCCGTCTCGTGATTGGCCTTGTGCTACCTCCAGCAGCTTGTCGAAAGTGACGGCACCCATCTCTCTCCTGCATTCCCACCTGGACAGCGGATCATACAACTCCGCCAATGGGCTTTCGACCTCGAGTCCGGCTAGCCAAGGTCCCTAGCTTGAGTTCTTCATAGCGACTCATGCCTCTTCACATATTCCATTCTTATTCCATAAACGTTCGAGATGAATCATTTTTTGGTTCCATTAGTTCCTTATAGTACGATTACTACAAGCGCTAGACTAGGACCACACCCCGTTTTTGCTATTACCATGTCCATGCGCTCTTCTACTCCCGAACTCCCAGCGACAGCCGCAGCGGCCCTGTGCCCCTTTAGGCCTCTCGACTACGCTCTCCTCTGTCTCGCGGACGAGCTCAGTTTAGCAGCTGGGTTTGAGTGGAGGCGTGCTTTGACGTGCAATCAGTTGTTTGTATGTAGCGGGTGTAGCAGCAAAAACGGGCCTGAGACCTGATCCATATCTGCCCCACTAGCCCTAGAATCTCCTAACGATATCAGAAGCCCTCCTTGCGTTGAAGATTTAACGTAATGTATTGCATACTTAAACTGTGCACAAACCGAACTAGGGATGCAGATACAAACTTGATGATTACAACCCTTGATAAAATATGAACTAATTTAGACACATTGACTTGAAGCAACACAAATTTCCACTTGAAATAAATTTTTAAAAACATTACAAAATTAAACATGGTTTGAATATAGCTATAGCAAGTGAGTTTTTAAATTTTCTAAACAAGAAAATGAAATTATTTGACTCTAAAACTATATTCATCACCTTGTGTAATTTATTTTTTCAGATTGAGTTTTTGCTTCTGGAAGTAATCTGTTACAGTCAATAGATTACTAGTTTTTATATACATATTTCGAATATAAGTCTTGTTATAAAAAAAATCAAAATTTATAATTTGGATCATGATACAAAAGTAAAAATGATAAAAGTTATCCCAAAAATTTCAGTATGTACATAAACATGAGAAAGAAAAATCAGTTCATCAATGTATTCATAACCTATAGATACATCAAAGAGTAAAAACTAAAATGACGCTGATATTTTCATTTGCAAAAATTTTCAATCTTATTGTAAAATTTTAAAAATTTCAATAAAGTCAAATAAATTTACGAAATTTGCACTAATATTCTTCAGGAATAAATCAATTGATTTATTGCAAGACACAAGGAAATTTTTTTATTTTATGGATATATGAATATAATACATATATATATAAGCTCATCATTAATTTTGAAAATTTCTGTATTTTGACCTCAAAAAATGAAAAATAATTATTTTTTAGGAAAAAAGTAAAACTAAAACTAGAAATAAAGTTTAAAAATTCATGTTTATTTTATCTTATTTTAAAAATTCGTATATGATCTTTTATTGCAAACTAAGATTAAATGAACATATTTATAAAATTTGGATCATTATTTTGATCAAATTTATATTTTTTGAACTACCTTTTTCTAAAACTAATTTTATGTAAATATTATAAATAATGAATCAAAAAAAAATGTTATAATATGTTATTTTTATCAAACATTAACATATTATTTTTTTAGATATCATGTAAACGTAAAATCTGAAAACCATTCATCATTTAATCACACCAACACTAGAGACATGAAAATATAACGTGGTTCAAACTCAAGGGCTACGTCCACGGGGAGAAGAGCACTAGAGAATTTACTGCTTGAATGCTTCAAGTGATGATCTTCTTATCATCCTCAGGGTATATATACCCAAGGTAGTCAATCACTCTCAGCTATAAATAGCTACATATGCGATTAACCTCAGTTAACTATTAACCTCAGTTATCTCCTTAACCAGAATTAACCTCAACAATCTCCCCCTTAACTCGCGTTAAGTAGTATCATGAACCTCTCTAACCTATATTATTACTCAATAAAAAGTTCTAGACGAAAACCTATCACAAGTTATCTCTTTAAACGAGAGTTAACTAAAACTAAGCCGTATCCATAAGAGTATAGAGTAACAATATAGATAGTTAATTAAGAACCATATTTCTCATGCTTACTATGCACGACTTGCATAGTAGCACAGTGTCGTCTGAAACTCTCCAAAGTAATAACTTTGGACAATGCATCAGGTGGATTGAGTTTACTGTCAATCTTGACTAGCTCAATTGTTCTATCCAAATTTTTAAAAAGTGATAAAAATGGAATTGAAAAATGCCACCCCCCTAAATAAAAAAGACACTGCTTGTGTCATAAAGTGATATCTGATGTCGATGTGCTTCACTCTGCTATCCATGACTTGGTTCGCAGCCAAATGTAAAGCACTCTGGATATCACAATGATGTTTGACCACGCATTGTGTTAATCTCATTTCCATGATAAGCTTATCCAACCAAGTAGCTTCCTTTGCCCCTTATGCTGCTGCCACGTACTTTGCTTCTATTGTTGATTGAGCTACGCACTTCTGCAAGGTAGATCTCCAACTAATGTTTACGCCGCCAAGTGTAAACACATATCCAATTGTAAATTTGCTCTTAGTCTAAATCTTGTCTGTAGTAAGCATCAAAGTAGCCAAACAAGGACTTTGCATTGTCTAATAAATCATCAAACAATAAGCCATAATCCACAGTATTCTTCAGATATCTCAGAATCCATTTCACTGCTTCCCAATGAACTTTTCCTGGATTCGACATGTACATGCTCACCTTCCTCATTGCTAGAGCAATATCAGGTCTAGTGCACACCATTAAATACATGAGGTTTCCTACAGCTTGTTCATATGGAACATATAACATTCTTCCCTTTTCCACGTCATCTGTAGTACATTGAGCTGCGAAGAGTTTAAAATGTGCCGGAAGAGTAGTCCATACTCTTTTCGAATCGGCCATGTTGAACCTATACGGCGAACATACTTGCCCTGACTCAGCCATAGCTTCTTCTCTTCAAAATCTATACAAATATTCATGTCTAGTATCCTTCTTGACTCCCATATATCTTTCATCTTAAATGCAGACTTCAGTTGGCTTTTGCATTCATCGACATCGAATTGGTTTTTTTCCAAGATAAACATGTTGTCAACGTAGAGAACTAAAATGATGAGATTGAACGTCTCATTATTCACCTTCTTCATATAGATACAAGGATTATACACACTTCGTAAAAAACCTTGTGCTTTCATAAACTCATCAAAACGTGTATTCCACTGCCTACAAGCTTGCTTTTTCCAAAGCAAGTAATCACCATGGCCATCAAAAGGTAAAATGTTATATTCAAAATTGCCACCGACCTGTCGACCTACAAACTCTACACATCGAAAATGAAAGACAATGGCAGCTTCCAAGTCAATTTCCTCCTTTTGAGTCATTGTTCAGGGCTTGAGAAGTGTCGAGATGCTTTAGTTGTGTCGAAAGCTTTCCAACGATACTCAATTTGAGTAGTTTTTGGTGAAAACATATTTCTAAAAAATATTTATGACATAATATTCCTGCACCGTTGTTCCGACCATCACCGTCGTTCGACCGTTGATTGCATTGCTCCGCCGACCATGTTTGACATCCAACCAGGACTGCAACCGCCTTCAAATTGACCACCTAGACTGTAACCACGGTCGATCTAACCACGTCGATCGTAACCACTATCGGTCCAACCACGACTTCAACTATGACTAACCACGTACAAACTACGTTGAACCCCCTTTAGGCCTGAGAAGTGTCCAGATGCTTTAGTTGTGTTGAGAGCTTTTCAATGAATGATACCCAATTTGACTAGTTTTTGATGAAAAAATATTTCGAATAAATATTTATGACAGAATATTCCTGCACCGGTGTTACGACTGTCACCGTTGCTGTCACCGTCGTTCGACCGTTGACTGCGTTGCCCCGCCGACCATGCTTGATCTCCAACCACGACTGCAACTACGTTCAGATCGACCACATAGTTTGTAACCACAGTCGATCTAACCACGTTGATCGTAACCACGGTCAATTCAACCACATCAACCGTAACCACGGTAGATCCAACCACGACTTCAACTATGACTAACCACGTTCAAACAGCTCCTCTCTCTCCGGCCACCTGGATGCACTGTGCAAACCCTGCCTTGACCTAACTTGCGCGGGAAGGGGGGAAGTAAAAGGGGGAAGTAAAAGGTGGGGCTGCCACTCCAAAACAAAACAAAAACAACCAAATTCCAAGAAAAAAAAATAGAGCTATGATACCCCGACCAAATTCAAACACTCGGATCAGGTCTAAACAAACTGTCACTAGTCAGAAAACCTTGATCAAGAAAAAATTCACATACTCCGTACCGTAACCTGTTCGTTTCAGAAAACCGTCAATAATGTGTAACTTGTCACTAAGGAAACTATCATCAAAATTGTACGTGAGAAAAATTGTCAATACGAAAACTTTCAAAAAATAGATCTGAACCGAACCGGCTCTGATACCAACTAAAGCATCTGGACACTTCTAATGCCCTGAACAATGACTAAAAAGGAGGAATTGACTCGAAAGCTACCATTGTCTCTCATTTTCAACGTGCAGAGTCTGTAAGTCGACAGATCGGTAGCAATTTTGGATATAACATCATACCTTTCGATGGTCACGGTGATTACTTGCTTTGGGAAAAGCAAGCTCCTAGGCAGTGAAATACACGTTTTGATGAGATTATGAAGCTACAAGGTTTTCTATGAAGCGTGTATGATACTTGTATATGAAGAAGGTTAATGATGAGACGTTTAATCTCATCATTTTAGTACTCTATGTTGACGACATGCTTATCTTGGCAAAAAACCAATCTGATGTAGATGAATGCAAGAGCCAGCTGATGTCTGCATTTAAGATGAAGGATATGGGGAGTCAAAAAGTATACTAGGCATGGATATTTATAGAGATTTTGAACAGAAGAAGCCATGGCTGAGCCAAGGCAAGTATGTTCGCTACGAAAACTTTCAAAAAATAGATCCGAAATAAACCGGCTCTAATACCAACAGAAAAAGTAAAATCTAAGAACCACTCATCATTCAGTCACACCGACACCAGAGACATGAAAATATAACGTGGTTCACCCTCAAGGTCTACGTCCACGGGGAGAAGAGCACTAGAGAATTTAATGCTTGAATGCTTGAAGTGATGAAGTTCTTATCATCTTCAGTGTATATATACCCAAGGTAGTCAACTACTCTAAGCTATAAATAGCTACATATGCGGTTAACCTCAATTAACTCCTTAACCAGAGTTAAACTCAACATCGTCACACTGTGAGATCAGTGCAAAGTTTGTCACCACAAACTTTAAAGAAATTTAAAGAGACTTTTCTCATAGTCAGCGTGACGATACCGTGGAAAGAAGGCTGTATAAATAGTACGGTACGACCTAATGGATACGCTTCCACTGTATCACGTGAACGAAAGTACAAAGTTGAAATAAAGCTTGAATTAACTTTCCGGACTTAATTAACTTGTTCTCAGACTAAGACAACATGATATTGTTTAGTCTAAATATATGATGGCTTCCCTTTAGGATCTAACGATAAAAACTTGGGAGCTTGTTGTATCCCCAACTAAAAATTTTGAAATGATGAAATGACATTTTTATTATTATCAATTGCAACCAACAAATATTATCAAATATTTTGATTTTGCCAATTTCAATTAAAATTCAATGAAACCAAATAACTAAAAATAAAACATGACTTAGAATATAACAATAAAAAGCTCAAACATACAAACTGTACGTTTATTCTCATTTATAATTATATAGGGAGATAATGAAGAAAAAAGTGAAAAAAGAAACCGGCTAGATGAAGAGAATATAAACTTCCCTCTCAATTAAAATGTGTCATCTCATTGTTCGAAAAAGTATTCAATCCCTTTTAAACCATTCTACCTTGTATAAACTCAACCCCCGAATTCATCTCGTGTGCCACATATATGCGATTGTTTCCTTGCATTACGGTGAACCTTTCTATATTTAGCTAAACCGGAAAGCATCGATTGGACGACTCGAATCGCCCCCAAGCCATCCCCGAGACAATTATCAGACTCTTGGGGTTAAGAGGGACAGAGGAGGGAAATGGAATTATGCCGCTTCCAAGGACGCAGGAGCTAATGTCCTCCGTCGACGCCGCGGAGCGATCGGAAGAAGATGCCACGGGCCATCAGAGGTACAGATGGTGCGATGGCGGTCTCGGCTCTCGATCGCGACGGTGGAGCGCCACCGAAGAGACCGAGGGTTGACATGGCGACCCGGAGGGCGGGGACACCTGCCACTTTTGGGGACCGAAAATCATCAGGCGCCGTTGGATTGGCCGGCCGCACTGCCACGCGAAATTAGGGCCCTCCTCGCAACCGGTGGAGAATGCGGGCGCTGTCTAGGTGGCAGCGCCAGCTGCGAAAAGGTCCAAGTGTCCAGTCTTGCGACCCCGCTAAAAACCCACGTGACCGGGGCTCCAAATGGCGAGCTCCAAATACGTGGGAGAGCCGCGCGAGGGCGCGTGGTGCTGGTAGTGGACCGGGAAGGCGATAACGGCGACTGGCGTCCAGGTGTCATCAGGGGCGTCCGAGCGAACTCATGGCCCAGAAGTCTCCGGGTCTCGGGCCAAGCCGAGCGCCGTATAAAACTCCTGGCGCGATTCTTCTGCATCATCATCAGTCGGAAAATCACCAACGTGCGTTGCGGAGGGTTGGAGCGTGGGTGTGTACGGTCTTTTCGGTCCAAAAGGTTTTTTCGGGAAAGCGAAAGATGGCTCTCTAGCACAAGCTTTGGCCTTTTCTGCGTCTTCTAGACACCGAACGAAAGTCACGAACGGGACCTTCGTCCTCGCCCTTCCCACCCCTCGCACCACCGCCGCTCGAGTATCCCCGCTCGAGGTCCGAGAGGCCGAGCGTAAGGGCTCGACGAGTGTTTTGGTCGATAGATTGCGACTCGTCTCGCGCTTCGCCGAGGCAGCGTGTGAGATTTGGTAGGGGTTGTGGGGTCGTCGTGAGCGTGGGCAGTTTTTCTTCGCTTTTTTTGCGTTTTAGAATTCTGGGAGTAGGATTCGATTTTTGATGGCGACGTTGGCGAATTCGATGAGGAGTTTAGTGATTGGTGGGGTCTCCCAGTTGCCCATCGCCAGGGACACACAGTCTCGGGGGTGTTGTAAAGTAGCGAACGTGAGTGCGAAGTCTTTCGCCCCTTCCGGTGGCTTTTATCGATCCGGAGAAGGAATTGTCGGTGCAAGGGTATGTTCCAAGGGAAGGAGTGCGGATTCGGCGAAGTCGATCAGGTGCTCGAGTGTTGAAGATGGCAGAACGCCCGGAAGAGCTGCCTTCAGTGCGCCAGCCATTGTGGAAGGGAACAATCCAGGGCAGATTCAGCGGAGCAAGAGCGGTCTCAACGCCCTCTCGGACGATGTGGACGCTCTCGCCCAGGACATCATCCAGGATTTGTCCGGCCTAGCGGAGTTGGATATCTCCCGGCCACAGCAAATAGTGCAGGGCTTCTCTGAAAATACCTTCGATGGTTCGTTCGCCATGGACTTGAGTCCGTCATCAGGACCTGGCTCCGAAGCTCTCGCTGCATCTGTCGGCCTGTACCAACCGAAATATGTGTGGTTTGCTAAGACCGCAGAAGAGGAGAACGTGATCATCGATAGACTCATCAATGCCACCATTGTCGGCTCTGCTGGAGTTTTTGCGTTGACGAAGATGTTTACAATCGATCATGAGTACTGGCATGTAAGGAATTCCCATGCTTTTGAGAAACCAACGTCCGTCAGTTTTTTTTTTTGGCTCTTTTGACGAATAGTTGCCGAACTGGGTCTTTAGAATGTGCCATTAATTGCCTAACAATTAAATACATGGTTTTGAGCTTTACCTGACAAGTGCATCTTATCGTCTGACAGGGTTGGACTCTGATTGAGATCATTAGATACGCTCCAATACACAACTGGTTTGCTTATGAGGAGCTTTTACAGACACATCCGGTTTTGGCGAAAATGGCAATTAGTGGTACCGTTTACTCCTTGGGTGATTGGATTGCCCAGGTATGAGGTTCTTTTCTCACTCCGTACATGTATCTGCATCCTCGAGCCACTAGTATTGAGCACGGTTGTGTGAGCGAGCGTTTTGTTCTGTATACGAAGTGCCTTTGACCATCTTGCTGACTTTGCTATCTACGTGTGTGCAGTGCTGTGAAGGTAAAGGACCCTTGGAATTTAACAGAAGTCGAATGCTACGATCTGGTCTGGTGGGATTTGGCCTGCACGGGTCCTTGTCACACTTTTATTATCACTTCTGCGAGGTGAGCATTCTCAAGTTCTTAATTGTTGCCCATCTTCATTTGCGTCGCGTTTTTTTCGGGTATAAGCCTCGTCGTACAGATAGACCCCGGCCCATTTGAAACTTCGTATTAACATTTAATTTCCTTCTTTGTGCAGTGGTTGTTTCCATTCCAGGGCTGGTGGGTTGTTCCATTGAAGGTTGCTTTCGATCAGACCATCTGGTCTGGATTCTGGAATAGTGTGTACTTCATTATGGTTGGATTGTTGCGATTCGAGTCACCAGTGACCATTGTGAAGGAATTGCGATCGACTTTCTTCCCTCTCTTGACTGTAAGTCTATTTGGACAATATTTGTAGTTTTATTTTGACATAGAAAGTTGGAAGATGTGGGGATGTAATGGCAGCAGTTTTCTTTCCAGGTCCCGATTTTATCTGGAGGTAAGAACGTTATTTGTGGTTGATTGAGAAAGCTAACCTCGAAAAATAAATTTATCTATCTTTCAGGCTGGTTGGAAATTGTGGCCATTTGCCCACATAGTTACATATGGATTTGTACCGGTGGAGCAGCGTCTTCTTTGGGTGGACATGGTTGAGATTCTGTGGGTGACAATTCTAGCCATGTAAGTGACGTACACTACTACGGTTTTGAGACTACCAGAAATGATTTAATGCTTATCTCAATTGAAAGTCGTCTTACGCAACTAGTCTCACAGCTCACCATCTAGATATGTACTTAGTCTAATAGGCTTTTTTTTGCCTCTACAGGTATTCTAATGAAAAAGCGGAGGCAAGGTTGGCAGAAGTGGAGTCGAAGGATGTGGTGAAAGAAGCTATTATCTCAACAGTGTCTATTGACGATATTTCTCCAGCTCCAAGCAGGGAAGAAGTTTCCTCGTAAGAGCAAGTCTAGAGGTTTGAAGTAGATTATCCACGGAGATAGAACTGTGGATTGTTGGAGTAAGATTCTGTAATCGGCGAATCAGTAGAGAGTTCCACCATCGGTGATCACATGTACATAAGACTGCGACGGTATGCATCACATTGATGTTCCGGCTCTCGTTTGAACCGGTGATGGAGAAATTGTACATCACGAGAACAGTATCCATTCTTTTCCAGTCGAATTGCAATAGTCGAAAGTAGTTCCCTCTTTCTTAGGAAAATTCCTAAGAATCATAGTCGACAGTAGTAGAGTGTCGTAAGCAACCTTTTTTTCTTTTGTCTACTGGAGGAGTTGTAGTAGACTTCAGGGAAATATAGTGTATATTAACGTCGAAATTGATTCAGATACTGAAATAATTGCGACGGGTGTTATCCTTTGCGACACCTTGTTGGAGTAATGTGAAGAGCTGTGATTTTGGTTTGTCTTGACGTGGGATGGATTGTAGCTTGCTTTTATTGTAGGTGAAAATTATTATGGGAATATTGTAGGCTCACTGGCTACGATTCTTTCAAAGGTGGTCGTGAAGAGTGTTGACTCTGGAATACAGGATGATACTTGTTCTTAGTATGCTATATGCTCGTTTGGTTGTTTTTACTTGGAAGTTATCCCTATGAAGTTCGCGGGCAAAATCGTAAAACTTTAAATTGATTAGCTAAACCGTCTTTTCAACCGATAGAAGTTAGCAAATCGTAGTCATCGGAATGACAGTTGACTTGATAGATAATTTTAAATAAACATTTACTCTGAAATTATAAATTGATGTTGAAAAAATGAAAGAAAGTAAAAAAAATTAAATACAATATATCAAAATCATGAAAAATACATATGGAGAAAAATAATAACGCATAATTAATATATATATGAGAGGAAAAATAACCGTAAAAAAAATTTGAATTCAACATTATGAACTTTAAACAAAATTCACACATTATAAATTACACTAAATCGAAAATGAATAAGAAAATTTAATTTTCCAACAAAAAGCAAATAATTATATGTGCGAAAGATAAAATTGTTTTCTTCTCCAGCTAGTACTTACATTACAACTACGTGACATTGTCTAGTGCGTCAACGTGCAATATGTAAAGATTTCAATTCTTAGGATTGATCGTCAAGATTAAAACTATACATGTCCACAAAATTTACTGCATTGTATGATTGTTTGGAAACTGAGTAATTTACATCAAACAAAGGCTTCTATTAACAGATTAATTCCTGGGCGATGAGAAGACGGAAAGTAAATTCTTAATCTAGTTTGAAATAAATCCATTTCTTCAACTTAACTTGATTGCATACACTGTCTATGTCAAATATCTCCATTAAAAACGGGCTAGAACTAATAGAAACGACGTCATGTATGATCGATATTGTGATATGCAATTATTGCAAGCTAACCGGTAAACCAAAAGTTAGCCTACACAAATAACAATAATAATAAGGAAACCAAAGAGAATGAAATGATGGTCGCAATGAGTGAAGTAAAAAATCGAGGAAGGCTGAAATCTCATAGGGAATATCTCTATTAAAACCTAAACGATTGCTATTAATGAACAAAAAGCAAAAGCTGCTTAAACAAATTGTAATGGATTTGGTCAGCTTCAACCGAACTCTATGATGCTTTGAAAATAGTTAAAATCACTGGGTTGAAAAGAGGAATAATTTTAAATATGCCATGAAGATAAAGTTGTCATGAAACAATCACTACTCAGATCCCATCGGTTTATGTGTGATTAAATTGTGAAATGTTTCCATTGCTATACGCAAATCAACTGATACTGCAATCAAAGTAGTTGATGCTATTTTCGATGCTCATTTCATTTGTATACACTTTGATTTGGGTTGTTTTGATATATTAGCGACAGAAGTATACATTTACTATTAGAATGCCATAAGGGGCCAGCTCCATATTAATCGATTGGTTTGTAGGTCTTGGTAGTCATTTCTGACATATTCTCGGTGATATTATTTCGACCTCTTTACCTTCAAATCAATGAATTTGATGACGAACATTTCTACGAGGTCGATGATATATTCCTCCTAGACGACGCCCTTTTTACTAGAACGCCGTATTCTAACAGGTCGTTCTAGTACAAATCAATTATAGATACGTGTAATCCAATCGATTACAATGAGATTTACATGTGATTGTTTATCTCATATACCAATTGTGTGCATCTGAAGTACCATTTTAGGAGTAGATCATACGAAGTGAAACATTGAAATAAAATTGAAGAATCAATTGCATGCACAATTGCAAACATTAAGGTGTGATGTTAACTAAACTCTATCATATTATGCACAATAAACCATGAATGACCAGAAAATTAATTTATGTTTCATGAAAAATTTTAATATATATATGGATCTATTAACCAAAATTTAACAGAATTATATAAAAGTTATTGGTGCTTTCAAGGGTTTTATATCCGGAAATTTTAATTTATAGTATAACCAAGAATTACCACCCTACATTTTTCCGGTACAAGAGTTTAGGTAATCCATAGGGGAAAGAATTACAGAATCTACCAAGGATGAATGAATATTATGCTGAACTGTCTATCCGTCAAACCATATATATAAATTTGATCAGTTGGGGTCAAAGAGAAAACACAAGATACTCATGTGATAATTCTCTAGTATTTCACATAAATTAATACAAAGCATATAATTACCTTAACACCTTCACCGCACGTCTTAAGTATATATGATTATAAGCGATCAAAACCAAAATCATCAAAGTTAGTTATTTAGGCTGTGCATTATTTAAATGAAGTTATATCTTGCTTAATTAATACATTCGAGTTACTTGCAGAGGACTTTGCTACAGTTATTCTCAAAGCTAACTTTTAAAATTTTATTTTGAACAAAGTGCGACGATCAAATCAGTATCTGCACGGATGGCGCAGTGTGTTTCAGTTGAACGAAGTATGTTAAAGTTTATTTAGAGGTGATAACGTACATCTCATGCAAGAGAATACGAGATTTTCTATGGTGAATGTATGATGTGTACATCAAACCTTGAGTAATATAGTCTCGCTAAGTTGGTCCTTCTCCTATCTTACGTGCTAGGTTGAGAGTTTGAATTTCCCCAGAGTTTCGTAGAGAAGATTGCATTCGCAGGTTAACGCGTCATTGTTCTCTCTTCCTCTCATGCCCTGTTTTGTATCTGTCTCTCTCCATTACTCTGACACTCTCATTTCCTCCGGCCCACATTCTCGTTCCAACTGTATCAGACCTCTTTGATAAATCTGTAGCCAGGTTTTCCCACAAACCAAGTTTAGATCGGTACTATCGACGCTCACTGTTAATTGGAGTTGGCACCTACCGATCGCAGCATTTCAGTATTCGGTGTATAATTCTTTGTATACAGTAGATTGTTGTTCCTATTTGGTGATGTTGCAAACAAAACGTATGACGTTCCAGGAATGAAGTGCGGGGTCATGGATTACTTGAAGGAGTGCCTTGTTAAAAATTCTGGTGGAGAGGAGAGAAATGGTGAACTAAACTCTGCTGCGCATTGCAGAAATCAGGTTCTTTACAATGTCATCTGATAGCCACTCTCCTACCCTTCGTTATTAGTCGAACTGTGTACACCGTTCTCTATTAGTGTTGTTATTCTTAGAGGATTGCTGATACGAAACGGCACGTTTGTCATAGACTCCTTGTTCGTAAAAGTTCAAGGGAACGACAGACAATATCGCCTCTGGAACGTGGGCATGGTGAAAAAGCCTCAGTGACTATTATGTGAGAGCAACTCCAATGGGTTCATCGACAACAATTTGTTAATGAGAATGCTAGTAAACAGAAGAGTACGTTGCAATACACTCATAATCGCCATTTATGAAACCAACGGAAGGATATGAAACTGGAGTTTATAGACGTTCCTCGTTACGTGTATTCATTGTGAAAAAGGGCACTGGCTCCTGACTTAACGACGGTGTTCCAGCGATTTCATGGGACTTCATTTGGCTGTGATTCCGGAGCACAGAGAATCGCGGGCACTTCACCGACATAAGACCACTTCAAATAAGCCCGTGAAAAATAGTACTCACAGAGGCATTCAACCACTTTCGAGAAGATCTCATCAGAAACGGCCAATAAATCGGGCGATGTATCTTCCTAGAGAAGAATTGATATGTAAGAAGTCCAAAAGGTGAACAGCTCTATTCGATTCACTAGAACATGTCACAACAAATACACGAACAATTGAAAAAGAGATTCCGTAGACAGCACTGGAAGACGACCAACCACCGAAATCCGGATTCAAAACACCGTCTCGAGATGAAGTTCTCTATTCGGAAAATTCCGTATGGAAAAAGAGTTGTAAAATAAGGCAAGGGAGATGGACTCCATATGATTACAGCGGAAATAGGGTTTAATCTATATCGAAACTAACAGAAAACTGCACTTCTGGGAGCTCAAGCTCGTAATGCTCCCCACCTAATTAAACGATATTCGGGATTTTTCAAAACTCCTGCAATTCCAGCCAGTTACGCATCAAATACAGACCCATCAATAGTTGAGACATTTTCCAACGGCGTGAAAAGCCTCAAGATTTCACGCCGTATGTAAAACCTTCTTGTTAGCTTCACGTTTACCGAGTCAATGTAGTTTTTCCTGTTCTTTTCAATGGCCTCTTTATTGTCGTCCAGTAGATACACTTTTATATAAAGCAATTGACAGGACTATTTTTTTCAAGCATTTCACATCTGCGCCATCAGGCGTACCTTTCGAACAGTCTAGTCGAAGAGATCGAATCCCATATCGTCGTCGCTCTCTTCCTCGGGCTCCGGCTTCTTCTCCTCTACCTTCTCAACCGCGGCGGGGGCAGCAGCACCTCCAGCAGAAGGAGCGCTCACGGCGACCGCACCACCACCTCCTGTGGTCGTGAGAGAAACAAGTGAGAAACACAACGAGACTTTCAAATGCAACTGAAACTCGAACAAGAACGCGAAAAAAGTCCCTGCCAATTTCACGTACCTGATCCGACGTTGGTGATCAAATCATCGACACTTCTCTTCTCCAGAAGCTTGGCGAATAGACCGGGCCAGTAAGACTCGACCTGCACATTGGCTGCTTTGCACAAAGTGGCAATCTTTTCGGCCTGAGATTTTGGGTCAAGGTGCAAACATAATTACAGTCTCCTGCTGAATTAGACACACGTCGATCCCACAAAACTGAACACGACCAACAACAACAAAAATTTCGTGAAAACATTTTCCTTCCGATGCCGATAACCACATAATCATCTCCACATCCGAGAAATTACGTAATTGCGACACAAAATAGTCAAGATTCAGGATACAGTGATGGGAATGCCGTCATCGTGCAAGATGAGAGCTGCATATGTCACGGCAAGCTCGCTCGTCGACATTTTCACGAATTAAGTGATCCAACCGCGGCTATGGCGATGAAGATTGCAAAAATGCTTGGGAAGACAAAACGAGAGCGAAGAGCGAAAGAAATGGCTCGCGCGCCAACTCTTCCTTTTGCCCTAAGGCGGGTTAGGGTTTCTCGCGAATCCTTCAGTCACAGTTGACAAACGGACGACCGTGCACGGCGTCTTCCGTCCGTCTGGACCGCCATTCCGCCGTATTTCTCCTCTGTTTTCGTCTCTGAACCAGCTAACCACGTACACAACTGTATGTATAGCGCATTTTAAGAGCCTTTACTATAGTTTCTCATCCGCTTTTGTATACCGTGGTGAGCCTCGTTACATTGTGTACCATAGTGAGTGCATATTTCTGATTACAGATTACTGTATCATGTTGGTCCTGGAACCAGCTCATCCCCATTGGTTTTATCAACCACGTAAGAATTATGGAGTTTTCCTTTTCTCTTCCTTTATCACTTGGTTCCTCCACATGGACTCCATTTGATGCTTTTATATGTATTGACAGTAAATTAGTGTGGATCAGATATCTTTAGCCCTTAAAAAAATCATAGTGTTCAGATTGGGATTACCCCCATATTACCCGTGTTGTGTATCATCCGTGTTCGGACTGATGGGTTTCCATCTTTTCTGCTATATTACTTGGTCCCCTTCGACAAGATTGACTTAGGGTGTTTATGGATTTTGCCATCACCTGCGTTCGACAACCGCGCAAATCAAAGATTGTGACAAACAAATGTAAAGCGAAATCGCGAGCAAGCTACTTCTCACAATTTATTTCATGTTTATTCTAAACAAAATTATGAAAACATTGTTAAGAGGTTGTTGGAGGGCTTTTATTTCAACTTAAAATACATGTTATCTGTTAAATAGGTATCTACCTTGGATTGGGAATCCGCTTTAAGATTCGGATCCAAGAGTAATGGGCGAATGATACGACGGGGGAGAACGGAGAATTTATAATAAGTTAGGAGTCCAGTTGTCTTTTAACCCAAAATTGTAGGGTTATAATTTGCTCAAAATCTAGAATGAATAAGTAGTTTTCTATTTAAGTTGCACTGATGATTCAGCAGTAAAGTAACTGTCAAAATTCTATTTTATTACCATTAGAATTTTAAATCAACTTTTGGAATTATTTTTTCCTCATCTATACTTTACTCTGTTTTGATTTTTTCCCCATCTATGTTTTAACAGTACGATTGTATACATGCATAAATCTTGTATTGGGATATACAAATTTGTAGATTTTGTGTACATGCTTACTAAATTATTCAAAAATATTTACTTGAACTTTTAAATTCAATGATTTCAATTTTTATTTTTTCACATCTAAATCATAAAACATCTAACATTTTCATCACAGAGTTGTGAACAAATGTGATTTTTTTCCAGTCTCATGGAATTAATAATAAAAACATTTCAATTGTTTTGAAAAATGTACACTTTTAGACATTAATCTTTATATCTATGCATACTAGCTCAACATTTAACTAATAAGCTATTGTCATGCTCATCTGTCACTTTCATTCTTCCAAACATGTATTTTATTCTCTCAATTGATCAACTGATTTAAATAAGATATCTTGCTACTGCCTAATCTTACACATGATTGGATAATGCAAAGTCTTTTTTATTTATTATTACAACAATTTTCGTAAAAATTATGAAAATTGCAATGCTAGTTATATCAAAAGCTCAATAATTTTACAAGTAAATTGTAACACAATTGCAATTTTTAGTCAGAATTTTTTATCAAAATAACAAAACTCTCAAGAGTAATTTCAAACGATACAGACTATCATCATCTCTATTTTTTTTAATGAAGCTTCATCATTCATCATACCATGCATCGTTCTTTCTTTTTTTTCTTTCTTTTTGCTCGTTTTTTTGCATGAATGTATTTTCATTCAAACCGTGAAACATCTTGTCAAATTATTTTTTTAACACTAATTAAGCATTTGAAATTGAAATCTGCACACTCAACAATGTTTTTGTTTCTTTTTATATAAATGTATAAATTTTAAGAAATTCAGATTTAATTGTGCACAATTAACAATGAGAATTTGCAATGTACTTTTTTATATGTAATATAGATGTATTAATTTTTATCAATTTGAATTGAATTGTGCACAATCTAAATAACAATTGAAATATGCACATTTAACAATTTTATTTCTTTGGTGATAAAAATGTGTTATTCATAAATGCTTGCTAGTATACCTTATTTCAATCATAAGCAATTTGATACTTCTTGAATTTTCATGCGTGCATGCATATGTATTTTATAAAATTTATAAAAAAATATTATATTTTGTTCATTTAATTCTTGCACATATTATGAAAATATTTTTTTAAATTTATATATTCAGTCATGTTATGAATTATCTTTTAAATGTAATTTGTATATGACAGTATAAATCATGCATTACGACATTAAAAAATTGATGAAAATATATCAATTCACGCTACATATGATATTGAATAAAATTTAAATTGTGTTCATTAATCATTATTTTAAATTTTTAATTAAACCATTTGATGTTATCAATTTTAAACACAGACTTACAATCAATCCAACCTAAAATTATATGTAATTTTTGTCTATAGAATGTTTGTTGAATTTTTGAACCAAGTTATACTTCACAAAGCAAAATAATTTTTGAATATAATCATATTTTGTAACTTCTCACAATTTCATCACAAATTTTTGAATACAAATAAATTTATTTTCACTCAAAGACTTATCTTTTGCATCTAGATGAGTTAGAATACTTTTGATAAAATGTTAACTTTCATTTTTATATTTTTTTAAACACACAAGATATTGAAAATTTAATATTTCAAAAAACACGCAAAATCAAAATTTCATTGTTAAGAATGTGAAGAATTTTGAATTATATATAATATTTTATTGAAGTCCTGAAAGAAATTTTTTTTGAAAAAAAATTCAAATTTACAACATTGATGGATTTTTTCTTCATTTTTCTACTGAATAAAATTTGAATTGATTTTAAAAATAGTCTTCTACAAAAACCATATGAATGGCTTGTCTTGACTTCGATTTTATTTTCTATTCCAAATGAATGTTTAAAAAATTTAAACAACTCATGAAAGAATTAAGATGCAAATTATCTTTTAAAACGTATTTTTCATATTATTATTAATTTAAATTTATTTAATTTTAATGTATAAAATTCTTTCATCGGCCTATTTCATCTAAATCTACAAAAAATAAAGCATTTTTCAAAATTTGAAGTTTTATTTAAAAATTAATTTTTTTACTAAAATTTAAAATATTTTTTAGTAAATTTAAAATAATTATAAATGATGCAATTAAACAAAAAAATTCATATTTCATAAAAATTGTTCAAATTAATTTATGATTATTAGTTAGTGGCTTTTGTCTACATGAGATTAAATTTTTACACAAATATTTTTAAATGTGGTAATGATCATCAGTTATGATCAAGTGCTATGGATCAACATAATTTTTCAAGCACTGAATTTTTTTCATCAAATTGAAATATATTAATTTTCATTGTATCTTGTGGCACAATTTAAAAAACACTTGCATTCATTATTATGCAAGGAAAACATCTCAATCCTTTCCGAATAAATATACTTTGCAAGAAAAAGCAAAAAATAAATATTTGAATTTTCATATATATTTTTGTCCATGTGATATTCACAAAGAAACAATGATTTGTATTGCTTGCAATCATGGAGTAATTCATTATGCTTACATCATAAATCTTGCATAAAATATGAATGTTATTTAGTTCGTGAAAATACAAAACTATTGCTCATTCACTTATAATTCATAATTCAATCTATCAAGTATTAATACAAAGTTAAACATGAGATTTGATGTGAGTTTTAATACATTCATTGTGATCAATATACAAAAAAAAATTATATTTTTTACTGTCAGAGTTATGGCATTTTTTGGAGCATGATGTTTTAATTTTTTTGGTATTTTATCAACAGTTTGTGAAAGTTGATTTTTTTGAAATTCATTGATGCTATTTTCTCAATAAATGTATTTTGGTCTAGTATCGATTTTGCATTAGTTTTCCTTGCTCCATTGATTTGCTTGAAAAACAAAGAAATTGATTATACTATCATGACTATGTTGTCACAATGACTCCTGTCTTATTTTTTTTAGAACTTAAGTCACAGGCTGAAATACATGAGTAATTTATGCCATCACATGTCACAAGTGAAATTCCGCCACATATTTTGTTTATTTAATCTGTTTTGTTTGCATCTTCAAAAAAAGAAGATAGAAGTGCTGTGTTCTCTTTCATTCTTTTTTTTTATGACTAGGATAATTATTTTTTCCTCAACATAACATACATCATATTGTAATTATTTAAAGCAATAAAATAAAGTAGTACGTTTGGGATGATTGCAAAAATCAGTCACAGATAAATATTTGATAAACATGGTATGATAACGTCATAGATAGTTCCCAGTTTGATGAAAACTTGGTGAATCGTAAAAACGTAAAATCCTTGGTATTCTCTACATGGTAGTCATTTCTATTCGACTTACAGCATATTCCACAGTTTACTTCAAATCTGCACCCAGACCATAGCCACAAGCAGCTACCTAAACCCACCCATAGCATTACCTGTGCCCACCCATGCTCTTCAAATTAGGCCAATTCTTGTTTGGATCTTGACAAACACTGCCCTTAGCATTACTTGTGCTCAACCATGGAAAAATAATGTCAAAACCCATAGGCAGTAATATGATTGTCACTTTATCAACATAGTTATTCCAGTATATTGATTAGGTAGATTCACTGTGTCACAGCGTACTGTAATCCTGTTGCTAGCTGTTTACGAGGGAAGTGAGAATGTTGGTGATTTTTGTTGTAAATAAAAAGTATATATAATAATTTGTTTCTATACTAGATATGTGCCGACCTAGCTCAGTGGTAGAGCGCGTGGCTTTTAACCACGTGGTCGTGGGTTCGATCCCCACGGTCGGCGCACATGTGGTCTTGCAATTTTATTTTTCATTTCACTGGGAGAAATATTGTATCTTACCTTCGCAAGATAATTGAGGAATCCGTTGATACACAGCCTCTGCTGCGGCATCTATCGACCGAAATCCTCTCTACTTCCTTATTGTTCTATTTCGTTCATGCTCAATCACCGGATTTATAAATCGTCCTCAGGTCTCTCAAGTTCAGTCGCCCATCTGCACATCTGTGCTGCAATATGCAGTTCCTGAAGAGGAACATGAATCAGTGCGATATCGGTGGAACGCGTTTACACATATTCTGGATTGCGTTTACACATATTCTTCATCGAGGATATGTAGTATATACTCTATACTAGTCTGGTTCTCACCAACATATGTGCTGGTCCTTCAAGTACAAAATTCAGATAGAAAAGAAAATCGTGACAACTGTGCAAGTAATCGCAATGTACATCTTCTATCACAACTAGACAAGTAAGACTTTTGAAATGAAATGACATCAGGTTTTCACTGTGGCAAGTTCGATCTGATTCAGTCGGGATATTACATCCTGTAACATACTGATGAGATTATCCATTTTATAAATACATGCATGTACTGCAGTGTTATTGATAGTCACAAGAATGTCAAGTCGTGCCCCGAGGTCTCCCTTTTCCAAAATGACTCCTACATTGACTAAATGACTATGCGAAACTTTTCTTCTAGTTCATAACAATTCAGTAACTTGGTTTTCTACCATCTCCACTGATAGAGGGATGTAGTGATAGATCGGACCTTGGAACCGTCATGACTATTGATTCGCTCGAGATGATAATATCAAATCTTATTTGCGTGTATCTGTCTTGCATGTCGCTTTGGCACGCAGACGAATAGCTACGGGACTCGAGTCGAATGCTGTGCCTACTGGTTGCAGATGCTTGTTCCTGAAACGACGTGGACTAATAATGATAGTGGTATCAGGCATGTTTCAATTCTTTGCCAGACATGAGAGGCGACATAAGTCGACGGGAAGCAGTCGTACAGACTAAAATAGGACATCTCCAGACCCAGCTCGGGTGGGAATTCTCCATATGAGCCCGTGATTCCAGAGTGGCAATATGTTCCATTGTATGCACTTTGTTTGCAGATTAATGATTTACAGAAGCTGAAATGATTGTGATCCCCGCACTGCTTGAACTCTCAACTGCAAACACTTTCAGACCTTAGATTGCTCTGGCCTGCTCCCGTGGAACTAAGCTCGAAAAGAATGGCTAACAGCATCGGAACACTCTGACCACTTTAACAAACAAACCCTCATATTTTATGAATTCGGTACATCAATTCTCACATGAAACAATTATTTTTATACTTACTTATAAATCAGATAAATGAAGCCCGATGTCATTTTGAGACATACATTTAAGACTCATCTTTTTAATTGGGATAAATTTTAATCTCATTGATATTTTATTCAAGTAAAATGCATTTGCAACCTAAGATTACAATCAAATGAGTTCATTCTTTTGCAATAAAATGCACTTGCTTCAAAACCTATGATATATATATATATATATATAATATGGAGGTGTACATGTGTGAGACTCTGTGTGTCATCTAGTCTTAAAGCAATGTTAAATTCTCTTATGTATAGAGACTATAGGATATCTACTTATTAATGAATAGACATTGATTTCTAGAACCTACATTATTGCTCAAGAAAAAAAAATCTTTGATTCTTAATTCTTAGATACAAGTCCGATTTGTACATCTTTTCTTATTTCAAATAACTGCCTTTTGTAATTACTACCATGTGATTTCACAACATTTTATATGCATTATTGATCATTAGACATCTCATTAAGAAGCGAACAGCAAAAAATATTGGATTAAATCTAATTTTAGACTTATCAGACACGTTTTGTAATTTATGAAATTTTTTTATACATATCCTAATTCTAAATTTTACTTTTTCCAAATCACTTTCTTAATCAATTTTTTTGTAAAAAATTGGAAACGTACTCTACTAACAATTCTTTCAATGAAAACAATAATTTGTTAGACTTGTTAGTTTAATTATATTTTAGATTAACTCCAGTTAGTGATAATCATGGTTAGAAAAATTTATGTGGCTAGGTTAAGTAAGATGTGCACTTCATCTCTTCTTTTATAGAAGAGAGAAATAAACATTCACTACGTACATTTCAGGGCTGCATTTTGAGAGTAGTAACGAGTGGAGCTTGGTTATGGAATCCGTGTATACATATGTGATTTAGTAAAAATTCTATTTTTCCCATGTAGATAGCTTATGGAAGGTGAACCACGTTATCTCAATGTTAAAATTGTTGCGAGTGCTGATCTATCTTGATGTTTGGGCTTTTCAAAACGAAGCTATCATCTCATTCTACTCTATGAAATTTGAAATTTATCAAAATTCAAATCTTAATATTATTAGTATTTTATTTATGTTATAAAACAAATTTTAGCACATTCATGCTATCAAAAGTTCTTTTATCACATGTTAAATTATATTGAAGGAGAATGCATATAATTTTTGAAAAATATATATGATTAATACCTAACTACCATATTTCTTTCAAAGTATTAGATTTTACAATATAATGCATGATGAAAAATATTGTAGATATAAATTTTTTTATCTGTAAATTTTATGTATTTTGATCATTAATTTTAAATTGAAAAAATATTTTTATTTATAAATAATATTTTAAAAGCTGGCATGTAAATGTCATTTCACAGACAAATCTTAATTTTTTATTTCTTTTTATAGGTACACATGAATATAAACAAGAAAAATCTGAGCTTGTATAAAGTATATAGCCTCAATATATTACGATCTCAATGTACAGTCTTAAATATAATTTATTACACAACAATTATTTGCATTAATTTTCATAACATCGTGGCTCCTTTTGTAAAATTTCAACATCCGACAGATAGAGTAAATGGTTCTCTGAATGCTGCAACGTGCTTACTGTACACCAATTTCATTGATCAGGCGGAGAGAAACATTTATCTTAATAGCAATTTATTTGCAGTCGTTTGGAATTTTCAGACCAAAATAAGTGAGATGGTAGATAGGGTAACAAGATTTTAGTGTGTGGAGATAAACTACCAGTTTCAACTGTGGTTTTCCGTACTTCAGTAAGGTAAGAAGAATATAGAGATACCATTTGCGTTGAAATCAATGAGTCTGAGCCGATTGTGGCCAAAGGCGACAATACGATATACTATACCTCTTGAAACTTGTAAGAGCTAGGAGAGTCCACGTTATGGATATTCCGAAGATAAAGGTATGCACATGTAATTGCTTTAACTTAAAGAAAAAGTTCACGAAGGTCGTGAAATTCTACTGCCAGCAATTGTGTAGTGAGATTAAACAGACACAGTCAACTGATACACATACTGTTTTTTTCAGATACACAATGGTACTTACAGAGCCCCAACCACTGAAACACATACTGGACGTAAATAAGGTTATATAGAGTTTACGATCAAATTCACATTACTCTCACCCATTTGTAGAGATGAAGTGGGTGTCTCACTGCTTAGAAGATGATCATCTCATGAAGGACGATTGCCAGATCGAGTTCCAGTAATATTTCTATATATATATGTCCACTATGATGATTGACGAATAAAATTCATTTATTTTCATTTACATAAAACGAGAAATGTCCTTATACTTAGAATGTACTGCAATCAAAATATATGGTATTCCATAATTATGGTTGCACAACTTTGCAATAATTGAAATTATATACTTTTCCTTCAATATATTGAATAAATTGAGTTGGTGCTAGAAAGAGTATGTGAAATAAAATTATCATGAAATGCATGATTATTGGAAGATTTGAAACTTAAATTTATAAAATTTAAAGATATACTTCTATTTGTGTATTCTACTATACATACATTCGGTTTAGTAGTAAGTATATCATGTAATGTAAATGAGTGACAGTAACAAATACTTAAATTTAGCTCTCTGCCTTCGCAAACTGGAATCCAATTTCATGAGAAGTGTTAATTGTTAAGATGACAGATGATACATTAGCAAGCATGTGAAACTAATGTGCATAGTTGAGGAGAATGCGCTCCATAAAATATCGACGTGCATTGGTGCATTTTTCACACGCGGGAGACCCTTAACAAAGATGGCAGAACCTGGCGTGGAAGGTAACGGCAGGCCTCAGAGTACAGAGTCAGATGACTTGGCCTGAAATAAAATATAGAGAATCTATGTGGTATGCGTAAGATGCTGCGCAACCTACAACTTGGCTGGCAAAAGAAAGCATCGATGGCTGAAAATATCGATCCAAGAAGTCTCTTTAGAAATCATGTACATTCGTCTTTTCTTTCGGTTATTGATGGTAACTTGTGCCTTGGAATGTCGTTTTCTATCTCAATTGAAATCAGGAGCTAAGAAGTTTGTTCTGCCTTCATCGCAAGGAATTTTAGGGCCACCAAGTGAAGAACTGATGGAGCCACAGCACAAAGTCGTAGCTCCCGACGTAGAGTAAATTCCAATGCATGTAGAGCATCTCGCTTTCTATCGTGACTTTAAACCCTTCAAAAACCCGGAGGATGTACCGTCCAAGGAACCATAGTTCACAAGGGACAGAAACACTTTTCCTTTTAAGTAAAGGGAAAGAAAGAAAGAGTGTCAGCAAACGGGACAGCACCATGTGATATGGCTCGCCCTCGACATGGCCCAGTCACCAAACAATATCCGCTGGTTGGGACATAACAAGCATTTTTTATTACATGTGGACACCTAACCCTTATAATTAGGTGGGTGATCATTCACACGTGCGATGGGTTCTGCTTTGCCTTAGGAAGCTCTGTTCTCGATGGAACGGCCATGAACGATGAATCGTCGAAAAAACATCATACACGGAGAGCAAAGAATTTATATTGGGACAGGCCTTTTATTATGGTCTGATTGGAGTGAATCATGGACGGAGAGCAAAGAATTTATCTTGGGACAGGCCTTTTATTGTGGTCTGATTGGAGTGAATCATGATCTACACATTTGCGAACGCAACAAACGAGAACAGTCGGCTACAAGTAAACAAGCCCATATCTAAGGCCGACATCACCAGAACAACTCGGTGAAAGAATTCTGACTACACTACTTTCGCAGGAAATGTATCGAGGTCCAGGAAGCCGTTGCCTCTTTCCTCGTTACCTTTATTCGTGAAGGAAATATCTTCTACAAAAATCATCGACTACGCACGCCGGTCGCGGGGCTGGCCGGGGCGGGACATGGACTCTCCGACCACAATCATGCACCTCAAGACCACAAAAAAATCGAATTTCTCAGTCCCAAATAGCTGAGCCGACTGCACGTCTCCCATTGCGGCTCGATCTAAGAGCTGAAGCCTTATGCGTCAAGAACACCGTCAACATCGAGCACTCCACGATGAGCGGTAAGATAGAGACTCAGTCAGTCGACTCATCTGGATGACATTCCCAAATCGCGGGTGATGAGATCAGTGTTTGGGAAGCATCAGATTCGCTTCGTACTTGAGGACGTAACCAGCGGTGTTGGGAACCGCGATGCTGACAGTATAGTAGCCGCTGGCTCCTCTGAAGGAGCCCGTGCCAGAGTTGACGCCCACCTCCCATGAAGGGGCACTGAAGTTGAACCTGCCCGAGCAAGAAAGGGTACCAGAGTAGCCGGGGACAGTGACATCGTGCACGAAGGTAATGAATCTCATGTATGGCTGTTTCAGCGACACCAGCTCGCCCGATCCGTAACCGAACAAAGTCGAATCGTTGGCAGTACCCTCTCTGAGAGGGCTGTCGAACACCGCAATATCACCAAACTGGAATGTGCCCGTGAGAGTTCCATTGGAACTGGCCACCTGCACAGAAGTCGTGTCCGGCGGCACGTAGTCGTCGTGCAAGTAGTATGCGAAGCTCACAGGCTTCATCTTCATGGCGCTGCATCCCGACGAGAGTAGCACCAGAGCAGTGACGAACACCGCCAGAGTCGATCCATGAGTTCTCTCCATATTGTCAGTCAGTCAATCTGTCAGTCCGTCGACAGCCCGATGCTACACGTTTATGAAAAGTGCGATGTCTTCACTCGCTCGCGGTGCCTGAGAGAACCTTCGTTGTCCTGTGTTCTGGGATAGGCCTCTTCTATTCTCAATCAGATCTAATGGTGAACGGCTGATGAGAACAGCTGCCGATGCGCTCGCTCATATACGCGACTCTTGCGCGGGGAAAGCGACTGTGTCGCCTTCTGCCACTGAGCGCAGACGATCGGTCCTGCTCTACGAATTCTTGTGATGGTGGTCATCTCCGAAGGTCTCCTGATCAAGACTTCTATACCATTGACCTCACTGATCGAACGTTCTGACGTCGGTCTGATCGCTGCTGGTACCCTGCTAAAGCTCTTCACGACCAATGAGGCTCGAGTCTCGCGCACGAGACCTCGCATGAGCTGAGAGCGAGCTGGTCTCGCGACTCTCGCCGTCTCGCTGCTTCTGCGTACTTAGACTTCAGGCTAGAACAACCCCGACCGTATGCCTGTGGGCTGACGGCAGACAGTCACCGTCGTTACGGGCTTCGAGTGTCACCGTCGCGTCGATCAAGCGCACCGTCTCTCGGTAAAAATCCACACTCGGTCAGCCGATGTGAGTCACGTGGCGACCCGTTGTCATCGCCTTGTGTTACAATTTAGGCATGTGGCAGAGCAGAGGGAGAGAGAGGGGAGGGAGTTTATGCGTGGGAGTCGATGAATGAGCAATTGACGGTTTAATTTGTAACAATGATGCTCGAAACGCGAAACGACCGGGTGACGGTGAAACCTTCTGGACGACGGTGAGGGTGAGACACGAAAGGTATACGTATGCCGTTAACCCGGAGAGTATACAGTCGGGGTTGATCTAGCCAAAAGCGTACTTAGCGCAGGTCCCGCCAAGAGGACAGCGCTAGATTGTTTCTCGACGCGTGCCACGGTTCGAGCGAGAAGGAACCACTAGACAAAGGGCCAGGCCCCAACGACCGCGGCTGGAAAAGCGGTCGCAGCGACCAGAAGATGGACTGTCTGGTGGGAACCTTCGACGCATGTCCAGCTTTCGCGATCGTCAGAGCTCAGTGCTCCGGCAACGGCTCTGACCATGGCCTGGATTTCGCTCCTTTCCCTTCTTCTCGTGTACCGGGGTTGAGAAGACTTTGTCCCGTACATGCCATTGGTCTTTCCGGTGTCGTACGTGCTTCGGTTCATAGTTCTGCGAGAGGATCCTTTCCTGGGCCGAATATCCTTTTCTCTTTACGACCGTGGAACAGTTCTCCGCTCTTTTCTGAGGTAGCCAACTAAAGACACTACAAAGATGTAGCATAAATGACTTTCAATTTTGGTAAATGTAATATCATCCTTGGATCACTTTCCAGGCTTACGTTTCAGGTATATCAATTTCAAGATTTTATTATGTCTACAATGTAATTCATCATCATCTGTCTGGTTGGTGTAGTTGGTCATCACGCTAGTCTCACACACTAGAGGTCCCCGGTTCGAGCCCGGGATCAGACACGTCTTGCAAAACATTTATTTTCTTTATTCTATAAGTGTCTTTATTTTAAAATGGATTAAAATATATGTCCGTGAGAATCGTTACTTTGTTCGCTTGTATAGTGACAATAGGATCAACTAATCTTAAAAAATTAATTATAATTAGCAAACGTTAACTTTGAATTGTTTTATTCATCTTTTAAATATTGAACTTATTTCATCTGTGTGATTGTTCTACAAAAGTTTTTTTTACAAAATTCTAACATAGGGAGATGTCTAACATAGACATCTCCCTAACCTAGAATCAATTAGAATTGAACCTTAATCAAATGATGATAAAGTCAAAATAACCATTGCTAGTTGACTTTACTTGTATCCATATGCAAAACTTCCAAATATAGCACGATAGTCTACATGTTGAAAAGTTTATCAACAAAATTGAACTAATCGTCAATACTGTTGTACGAATTCTTGTACTGGTGGTCGTCTCCCAAGGATTGCCTTTGCTCGCCCTTTGACGATCAAGACTTCTATACCATTGACATCATCGATCGTACGTATTGACGTAGGTCTGACGGCTGCCGGTAATGAGGCAATTTTCAATTTGGTCTCGTTTCAGCTTCTCAAATGAAGCAAATATGGAGACGCGTGTGCACTGCGAAAGTTGTGTACCTAGTGGTCGTTCTTCGCTTATATCATCAGGGTTTTCCTCATCCATTTACTGGCTTGTTCATTTTTCTGGGCGGAGGGGTATATGGAAGCTTTGAGAACTAACTGCTGAAGTCAACGCTTACACCAAATGCCAAGGTTTCATAACTCCTGAAATGCATGTTAATATCGTATTTCTAGTTCGTGACATTCAAAGTAGGACATGCGAATGGAGAGAAAAGGCTTGTCGCGCTCTACCTCCCGTCTTTAAGTTGCTTCGATGATGATGAAGTGAAGTGAGGACTGAATGCCATGGGAGTTGTGGTGACATGCCTATCGTGATCTTGTCACGATAGACTTGCTGAATTGAAGCGTCACAGGCCATTGTTGTGCCATTTGCTCTGAGGACTCAGTGAGCAGCGTACCCTGTCGAGGCTATTCACGACAAGTGAGACTCGAGTCTCTCGTGCGCAAGACATTGCTGATTATGTCAATTTGGACACAATCTTTATTGAAAAATGATATCTATCGACGTGTTTTATTCTGCTGTACATCACATGATTCACAAATAGATGCAAAGCTCATTGATTATCACAAGTTAAATTCATAGAATCATTTTTCAATCTTACATAAGCGATAAACATATCCAACCTCAGCTTCCGTAATTCACTTTATGCATTCATCTCAAAGTGAATATATATCTAGTTCTAGATTTTTTTCTATTCAGATTTTTTTCTTTCTATGCATCCAATTCTTGATTTGACATTTGATTTTGCATCAAGCACAACATTCGAAGCTAAAGCTCCATTTAAATTTTTGAAAATACACTTCAGAAAATTTTCAATATATCTTTTGCGTATTTTTTGGAATGCAAATTGTCCATTAGTCTTGTTTAAAAAATCACTGTTTGGATTAGGATTTAAGGAAAAAACATGACACGAGTTATCACGTACTCGTAAGGGATCTTAGACATCAAATTTTTCTTCATATCATGACACAGAATTGATAAAAGCTTGAAGTGACAAACCGCAGTAGTTCTTGTAAGTTTGCACTTCTTCATGTTGAATCCTACCAGTACATTTTGAACGTCTTTGTTTTGAATTGATCATAGTTTTTCATTTAATCATTTCTAATTTTTTATGTTGTTTCAAAGAGCTTAGGATTAAAAAGTTGCTGACTAAATATGAAAATATATATATTTAAAATTGTCTTGTTTCACAATTGATTCAACTTGTACTTTTGTCAAGTTGTGAATCAAACTCATTCAACTATCTTATTTTTACCTTCTATTGATGTACAAAATGTTTGTTCATGGATGTTTGTAGATTGAAAATTCATGTTATTGGGTCATGCTCAACATACTTTGACCGATTTAATTTCAAATTTTTTAATTGACAACTCAAACTCAACAATTTTATAATCTTATCAAAGGAAATATTTGAAACTTTTAGCACTATTTGATTTCATTTGATATTTTTAGCATTTTTAATTTTTTGATTTCATCATCTTTTCAAAAATTAAATATTTTGTTCACTTGTATGATATATCTTTAAACATTTTATCATGATTTGATGCACACAATAGAGTTTAGAATCACTTAAAAGTCAAACACATTCTTGGAAGAATTACTTGATGGAATCTTGCGTAACACAAAACACTTTTTGAAATCCAACACATATCATTTGATCCAATAGAATTACTCCCACTATTCTACATACATAAGTTCATTCATAATCCAAAATAATCCCATTGTCACTCATAATTCAAAATAAATTCTTTTAACAATATAGTTGACGGCTATATTGTGGGGGAGGGACCTCTCTATTGTCTCGTCATTCGTCACCGTTTCCGAGTATAGTTGGCACCTTGGGGACGTGTGATCTCTTTATTCGTCATCGTTTTTACCTATAGTTGGCAGCTTGGAGATGTGGAGCTTCAATGAAGAAGCAAGTATGCAAGGATTCAAGATCATCTCTCTCTCAAATGTTTGGCCAACACTTGACAGTCTTGAACTTTTCTTTTTCCACACTTGGAATTTTTTTTCTTCTTAATCAAGAAAAACAACATACATTTCTTTTCTTCATATTCAGCTTGGCTACTTGGTTGATCATGGCGGTAGACAAAGATTCTCCCTCCGAGTTGATGCCTAAGTATTCAGCCATCACACACATTCCATTTTTTTCTACACTCCTTCACACTATTTGATTCTACAACGAGTTCAACCGTAGCCCCTAAAGATTATAAAGATTTAAAAATAATTTAAGGCAAAAAATGAATTAAATATGATGTGTTTGTTTGCATATTTTATTTAATAAAAAATCTAATTCAAGATTCCAATTGTAAAGAAATACTTCACCAAAAGATGTTATATATAAGAAACTTCATGACTTACAATTTATTTCATTAATATGATATTGTGTATTATTTCAGTATATATTAACCATGATTTTGAAATTATAAATGCAACATGTAATTGATGTTTATTCCATTCATACTAAATGTAAAATTCTGAAATTAGGAATTTATCAGAAATAATGTATTTTCAAAATTGTATTACTTTTTTATTCTTCTTGGCACTATTATCTGACTTTTTACATAATATAGATGTCAGTGTCAGAGTTTATCAGCCATTGAAAGTCATTATTTCAGAATATGAAATTTTAATACAAATTGCTATTGCTTAATTATTTTTGATCAACATGTGTTAAACTTAAAAAAAGAAACAGGTATTGATTAAAATAAAAATAATAAACATTTAGACAAATTCTCTATAATAGTTTTAAAATTTCAGATTGCTATCACATAAGTTTTTGTATTCATGTCTGATCTAATTATGCTTATCTAGATTCATTAACAAAAATCTGAGACATTTTAAGGTATTCAGAGTTAAAACTTGTTATTTTTTGAACTATCAAATCAATATACTTCAAAAATATTACTGTGTCGAAAATTGAGTTTTGTGTTAATTTGAAATTTCCATTTATTTCTAATATTTCTATGTAATTTTCTATGTAATTTTCTATGTAATCTCACATAATATTCACATGCTCATTGAAAAAAATTGCAAATATACACGTAAGTTATCAGATTTAAATTTGAACTTTATTTCACTAAAAATAATTAAATCGTAAAGATTTAATGATGAATTTTTTTATTACAACTAAAAAATCCATGAGTATATGAAAATTTTGATGATATATGCATGAATTTGCATGGGTTTCTATTTAAAAGGTTTATTATAGAGAATTATTAAAATTCAAAATATTAAATGTGAATAATATTTGTACTTTTTACGTCCATTTGAAGTTGTCAATGCAACTTTTATAAAACTAGGTAGCTGTTTATAAATCAATTATGACATATAATAATATCTTTGTTGTGAATTTGATCTTTTGCGAAATAGGAAAACGAAAATATATTTACATTTTTAAAAAAATTACAAAATTTTCAATTACTAAAAAACTAAGAAATTTTTATCAATAATGACTGTTCCAACCTAATTCAAGATGAAAGAAAAATTATTGCAACCTTGTAAAATATAATTATTCCAAAGCATAATTAATTTATATCAAGAATAATTATTATAGAGTTTGATATTTTCAAAAATTTTAATATTTTATTAAATCAAGAAATGCATAATTTTGCTTCATCATCTCAGTTGTTTTCTATGCAATACATCTGAAAATTAAGTAGGTTATTTCTGATTATGTAACTCACTTTTTTTAAAAAAATTTTGAAAGAAATATTTCAAAAGAAATTGATAGAGCTTATTTGAAATTATACGTTTTTTTTATCGTGTCTGAATTTGTAACTTTCATAAAAACAAATCAAAATTATGTTAAAGTTATCAAAATGTACTAGTTTAAAATATAAAGTGTTTGAAAATTTTTAATTTTTAATTTATTTAGAAATTTCCTATACAGAAATATTTCTGTACAAAAAGGTTATTAACTTAAGGTCCAATAAAATATCAATTTTGTATATTTAGCATTGTAACATTTATTTGTATCACATAAAATTAGCTTCAGTGAATTTGAGACATGGAGATAAATTTCAAGTACATTATACTTTAGGAAGACAAAAGAACCATGCTGTATTTCACTTTTTATTTCAAGGAGTTGGATCTTCAAAGATTTTTTTTTGTCTAGATTAAACTTGAATTATCTCATTGGTTTTTTAGAAAATTATTATCAATTTGATGCATATTTAGAAAAAATTTCTTGAATGAATATGAGTTAAAGTTTATCGAAGACTTATTCCACATCTGAATAATCAAGTCAAAGTATGAAGCTTGATGTTTAATGACAATTCTACTTGTCCGCAAAGTGATGTTGAAGAGTTAATTCATGAATTTCACATTCTTGGAGTACAAATAGTTAATGAAATTTTTTTTTTACGCAGACACAATACTTATTGTAGAAGCATCTGTAGATAATTTTCATCTATTACTGAATCCTTATCTGTTGTTTCATTTATTCTATACAGATAATCATACTTACTACAACTACATGATAGAATTCTCATCCACATTTAATCAGAAACAAAAATAATAAAGAAATAAAGAATTAAATACATCTAATACTAATCTACAATTTTATTTTTCAATTTGTTGATGCCAACAGTGTTCAAGCCAAAAGATAATATATGGCAGTTCCGTGGTTAGAAGAAAATTTTCCAAGTATCTTCCCCAGAAAAAATCACAATTAAAGTGGGGACGATAATCCATGACAAAATTATTATGAAACGTATTCCTTGCACTCCACGTATGGGTCTATCTAAAATGAGAACTCACCGGTAGACGAAACTTCTTTGCCTTTTAAGTACGACTTCGGTCAAATCCATCAGCGTGAAGATATCGTTTCAAGGTTGACATGGTCAACTTCCGGAACTTTCTAAAGGCAGGTCTGCAATGTCTCGTGGCACCGCTGGCCGAGTCCGTCATTGTCTTGGTCAAGCTTTAGCATGGAAAAACTATTGCCTCTAGCTGCATCAGATATCTGTGGAGACCATGCAAGAAACTACGACATTGGCTGCTTGGTGGGCCGCTCGTCCAAACTCCCAGTAGATTTTAACCTATATAATCAAGTCAACCGACGAGGCAACTTCACATGAAGGATATACTGCAAGAACCTGATACTCAACGCGTTTATTGTTCCAAACAAAGGAAAACAAACACAATGATTTGAGATGTATTGCATGTTCTGAACTATCAGTTTTGATCCACGTGAACTTGTAGGGGTGGAGGATTTCTCGAAAGAAAGCATGTATTTCAAGGCTTCCTACGTTTCTTTCCAACATGCGACCAAGTCCCATTACGATGTCCATGAGAAATATGCCATGCCGCATCTGAAGATCACAATGAAACAAAACGTTTAATAGGGGCCAAGTCACAATAGCATCACAACGTCAAATATGTCATGTCTAAAATATAATAACTATCAATTCCTGCAGTTAACTAGTCTTCCCTATGGAGGCTAAAAAGTCAGAATTTTACTCTTTCTTAAGAAGGATATTGGCTGACGATGGGTGGTTGGAATTGAAAAATGAAACAGAGGAGGTCAAACCCTCCAGGTTACGGCGCTTACTCACTTGAGTAATACGTTACTTTCTTACGGTCACTCTCCCTAAATTCCTGAAGGCGTTATGGGTCAACTAAAATGACGGGAAGCTTGTGGCTGTTGCAGAACAACAAAGATACGGAGATAGATCATGGAGATAAGGCTCCAGTTTTTCATCATTCGGTCGGCAGCGAAATATACCTACGTTAGAATGTTTTCTTCTTTTCACGTATTTCATTTCTGAAACGCCCTTTCTTTCATCCAAGGAGCAGACCGACACGTTGCCCACTGTCACAGCTCGGTAAGAAACACACTAGCGTTTGTGTTGAAGTTATGAGCCGAGCAGATACGAAGAAAGAGAAGCAACAGAAAGTCGGGAAAGTCTTCGTGGAAACGGTCGCTGATACGGGTTGGTATCTCACTGCGCGTGATTCTTGTGAGTTCTCATATAAATATAGATAGGCCGCATCCCCTGAGAAGAAGGCCATCTATTCGTACGATCGAAGAACTGATCACTTGAGCTGAGCGAAACTGAGCGACGCGCTCACACTCTTCTTCTAACACCAGCAACTTTTCGAACTCCGGACTGACAGCAGCAATATGGAGAGATCTCATGGGACTTCGACTATGGCCGTGTTTTTCGGCGCACTGATTATTCTGTCGGGATGCTGGAGCTCCGCGAGCGCCTTGAAGCTGAAGGCCGTGAAGTTCACGTACTACATGCACGACGACTTCGTGCTGCCAGACGTTACCGCTGTAAAAGTCACTGGTCCCAACAGAACTCTCGGAAGCGCAGCTACATTCGGCGATATCACCGTCTTCGACAGCGTTCTCAAGGAGACAGCTTCCAATGATTCAGCCCAAATCGGGTACAGCTCGGGCCAATTTTCGGCGCTGAAAGAGTCAGTAGAGAATTTCATTATCTTGGTGCAGGATATTACATTCCCCGGCTACTCCGGAACCATCTCCTGCTCTGCCAGGTTCAACTTCAGCGCCCCGTCTTGGGAGTTGGGTGTCAGCTCTGGCACAGGTTCCTTCAGAGGAGCGAGAGGCTATTTGACAGCCAGCGTTGCCGTTCCCGACCCAGCTGGACTCGTTCTGAAGTACGAAGCGAATCTGATCATTCCGCAACTGTAGAACAAAAGTTATGATTTGCAAGGCATTCGATTTGATTGGAGAGGATTAAACTCTACTCAGCGAATTTTGCAGCCCGGGAGCGTGGCTGTTGCGTTCGTTCCTTAGTAAATTTCCATAGAGAAATTGGATCCAAAATTTATGCACTTGGTAGTTCTCATACATCATATCGATTACTCCATTGCACCCTTTTACTCAGGATTTATTGTGCCCATGCGTGATCGACGCAGTGTAATTCAGTCCCGGCGAAAGTTCTGCCTTTGGACTGTCACATGGATGCCCTACATGCATTGTTTACCAACAGAAACCTCCACTTTGCGCTGGCAGATCATTCTCTGCAGTGCTCTGTATGTTCAATACTGAAAATCAATCGTATATGAGACCGAGCTATTGGATTTCCGCTAGATAAGTATTGCTGTTACAGACAAGGTTTAGTGTTTTCAGTAAGAGCCATGCTCAATAGCATGTCCATGATTGTCGTGGCCCTACAGTAAATGTAAGGATTTGAACGAGCAGTTCTTGGTACAGGCCATTCTCCCGTTTCGCTGGAATTATGAACTAGAAAGAGAGGGAAGGAGACCACTGGACTCCATGCTCACTTCGAATTTAAAATGTCTCGGATACTGTGCTACCATGGCATATTGCACCATCCTTTTATTCTTTTATATACATAAATATAAATAAATAAGTATATCACAGTAATGATCATGCTCATTATGAGAGTGTATGTTGGTTGGAACTTGACTTATCGCGATTGGGTGGGCTGGATGAATTTGAGTGGGGCCCAAGGATTTTGATTGTTGTGGATTAATTCTTTGTCCAACTATTTTAGATAATACTGTACTAAGAAATAATACTTGTGTTACATTTAAAATTGGTTTCCAATACATTGATGACAGATCTTTGAGTAAAGTGGTGAAAATATAACCCTTTAAGAACTCTAGTAAGTCAAAGTCCAAAGAGAAAACAAATTGTGCTCAATTCCATTCCAACATTCAATCAGACAAAGATATCAATCACTTAGGAAGATAGAATTGGGACAATCTGTGGAGGATCTGGACTTTATGTACCAACAGATAAGCAGATCTTTAGGAATGTAACAAAACTTATGATACTGAGGGTTGTCAATGAGATGTACTGATGGTGCTCCCGACTCACTCTAGCGCCTGAATTCTTACTTAGCTAACTTTGCTAGGAGCAATCTGTTGCAAGCTCAAAGATTCGAAGATCATCAGATTTTCCACTCCCTATTGTAATTTTAATATTTTTTACACAAATAAGACAATATTAGCTTTATTCTGCACAATGTTTACACACCCCTCGCGCCTTATTCTTGCAACGATATACTTTCACGCCCCGCGAGCGCTGTCATGCCGTCTTTTGCATGTCACCGTGTTGTAAGTCCGCAGAGTCATTACATTCGTCAGCCGTTCCAACTGTTCTGCCTCCACCTAATTGCGTCAAGCCAGTAGATACTATACATCCTGGCCAGCTTATTCCTCCAATCTCACATGTTTATCCACATTGACCGATTGAAAGTGCTGTTGTAGTGGATAAATTTTCCCTCGTTGATCAAGAATCTATGTGCAATTCGTCCTCGCATGCCTTGCTTCTCAGTCCTTTTTACTGGTCTGTCGAATATTGTCTACTTGAAAATTGAAGCTCTGTAGATTTGCTATACGCAGGTTCAGACCTATCTTCCTCGGCTTCTTATTCTTCAACAGCTCTTCCAAACAATGCCGAGATTTATGTCCGTTTGAAAGCTTTATACAGACAAGATCCCAATCCTTACGAGAGGCTGACGCCACGCCCTACAGATCGAAGCTGATGGAGTAGAACTGGAAGCGCGTGTTACAGTACTTGAAGTTGCGGTTGCGGCATGCTTCCGCCACACTATCCTGAAGACTCTCGGGCCCGGACACCATCACCCCCAAATCCTCACCCGGGTACTTGCCCGATATTCCCTCGAACAGGTCTGCACAAATCACCAGTGCGTCAATATCAGCATACCAATAAGAAAGAAACAATTAGACAATGACAGCGTTTCCACACCGCTTTCGGTCAAGTGATGATTCCGCGAAGAAACAAACAATTAAATTTTGAAAGGATAACTGAGAACGACGAGTCATTCAATTGCAGCCCAAATCCTGTCAGTGCGGAAAAATCTCCGGCTACATTCTTACCTGCGATGTTGGGACGGGGACCTTCGGCAATCGACGCCTGGGCCAGGAGCGAGGTCTGGTTGCCTTCCAGGTCATCAGCGCCGGGCCGCGCCACCTGTTCTGGAGACGCCACGAGAGCGGCGTCGGTCTTCGAGAGCGAGCGTCGGCTCCACATCCACATCAGGACCACGGCTCCACATCCGCCGAACACGACGACGCCCAGAAGCATGCTGACGAAGAGGAGCGTGACGGCCGCGGCGGTGGGGAAGGCCTTGCCCTGGGGCCCGGCGGGGCCATGGCTGCTGCCGTGCTCATGGAAGAACGGGGCCGCGCTGTGGTTGTTCGGCCGCACCACGGCGCTGTGCAGAACCCCGTGCACGAGAATGAAGCCCGTGGTCGCAGCGGCGATCACCGCGGCCACCCACACATTGCTCTGCCCGATGTGCGCCACCTCGCGCCTCGGCTGCTGGTCGGCGGCCGTGAACAGCACCTCCTCCGAGCCCACGGGCACTCCCACCGCCAGGCCCGCAGCTTTGCCCTCGTCCTTGCCGTCCCCGCCCTCCCGCGTCACGAACGCCCTGATCACGATGTTGAGCTTCGAGCTTGCGAAGTCCGGGAAGATCTGCGCCGGCGACACATCCATCAGCGTGGCGAGGTCCGCCCTCCTGGGCACGCACCAGATGAGCTCCACGTTCTCGGGAATTCCCTCCTGCCCCAGGCGGTAGCGGCACAGCAAATCTCGAATGATTGCCATGTACGGGGTGACTCCCACTCCTCCGGCTACGAGCACCAGCGTTTTGTACCTGAGCAAATCCGAGAAGCCCAGACGAATCCACATTGTTAAAATATGCGCTGATGACTTTGTTTGCAACGAGCCCAGTCAAGCCCATCCATCGCACACAGGTTGGAATTGAGTCTCGACCTACCTGAGGAAGTAGTCTCTCTCGGGACCGTAGGGACCTTCGGCGAATAGCTTGAGTGGCAAGGGGCAGCCTCCAGATTTGTTCTTCGAGGGTTCGGACTCGGTGAGAGAGTCCAACAGGCTGCGGGTCCATCCTCCGAGTGGCTTGATGCATATGGACATGTCGTTGCTGTTCTCCAGGGAGCTGGATGTGGTGCTGAATGGGTGCCACTCAAAGCGTGAAACGCTCGGAACGTTGATATAGATCATTCCCAGTGCTTTGTAACTCAGACCTGCAAGTGGGAGTAGATCCGATGAGCATGACGAGAAGTTCCAGACACGTATGGACTGTCTCGCTCGAATGTTTGGACATAGACTTTCAAGTATCTGAAGACATCAAGCTTCTGAATTTCGCGGTGGCTTCACTTACTTGGAGATTTGGGGAACCTGAGCCTGACGACCCCACTGGGTAGGACCTGCGCAGACAGAACGCTCACAGCGTCTCGGGACTGAACCATGCGCAGGAAGCGGTCGATGAAGTAGAGCATAACACAGCCCAGGAAGTAGTAGGAGGCGAATTCTCCGACGTGCCAGGCGGCGAAGGCGAAGACCAGAAGATACATGTGGTGAGTGACGTAGAATACATCGAAGAATCGCTTGCGAACGACTTCCAGGGACGTGACCCATAAGACGATTCCAGCTATCATGGCAATTACTCCTGCCAAGTTGGACACACCAAATCTCGGCCATTTGAAAATCTGCACGCGTTTTATCAGAAGAAATGGTAAGGTCAGGAGAGAGAGGGAGAAGGAGAGAACTCAGTACCGGCTTCACTCGAGTGACACAGATCATGTACTAGTCAACAAGACCCATGAACGATTTAATATTTGTGGCTCTACAAATTTCGAAATATCCACAATCTCTGAACTTGATCAGTCCAATCAGTAGGAGGCACTGCTGGCCAGCATCACTCACTCCATCGGCTACTTGGCCTCCAGTGTAGTAGATGTGGAGAGAAAACGTGATGGAGTGAGTCAACAGAACCCAGAGGGAAAGGTGACCGAGCCATCTGTGGTATCGGACAGCGTGCTCGAATGGCATGTTCAGCAGTCGCAGAATTGGAGACGCCCTGGAAATGGGGAAGAACAAAAGGGCCATGGGCAAGTACCACGCGCGTCCAGTCCAAGTTCCAACTCTTCCCACTTTTATCATCCATCTGTAAAATCAGCAGCGGAATCAGCAGAAAATATCACCTTGCCATAAGTAGGAAGTATTTTCCGAAACATGTGATAACTTTACTTCCAGGCGTTATTGTTCGAATTTTCATGCTCCGGGTCATTGGATGCAATAGGAAAACGAGTACCTTTCTCTTCCAGGCCTCATCTGGGTGTGATCGACGAGGTCAAGAGCAGGCAGCAGCTGGTTGCAGAACAACCAAAGGAAACCAAAGCCCACAACAGTGATTAACGCCAAATCGGCTCCTGTCAAAATACCCATCGGAGTTCCCACTAGGATAGGCTGTGTCCACATGGCATTTGAAATTTTTTTCCAAAATCGACTCCATTTCGGCAGCTCGCTGGTCCTTTGCTCTCTGCAGCAGTGCAAGCAACGGATAATATTCTGAATATTTCATCATCGTGCAACCAACACTGGTATGAACCAGTGCCTGTAATCTGCGACTTCCGTAATACCTGCCCGCGGTCAGATATTCCCGGTCTGAGACTAAATAGGTATTCTCTGATATGCATAATTCTCAAATTCATATATGCAAGTTGGCAAAGAGTCGAAAGTTCCTACTGCGCTTGAGCTATCTTGGACAGTTGTAGAGGGTGAGGTGCATGCGCGTGATGTTTCGAGATTTTTTTTCCTGTTCTATGCTTGTTTCCAAGAGTTTGGCAGTGAAGGAAAAAAGCTCTAAGTTTCAAACAATCTAATTGTCTAACGTCGCCAAGAGGTAAATCGCTTGAGCTATGCGGATCCGACAAACGCACTTTCGTTATCTTAACAACTGCCATCAGCCAGCCTGTTGTCGCACGGCCACGGACAGATTCCACAACTGAAAACTTGGATACTGCAATCGATGTGGTCCAGGAGGAAAGGGTTGCTTACCGCTCAGGATACTTTCGTAGAAGCTCCAAGTAAACGAGAGTAAGAGTCGCAAAGAGGAACACGGGCAGAGTGTACATGAGATAGTAGGGTCCTGCACGATTTGCACGAGACAATTGTCCATCAGTGGCGATTTTGAGGGATCTGTCTTCAAGAAAAGTATGCAACAAATCAAGAGAGTGGTCCTACGGGAACAGCTGTTATGATGGTTCTGCGCGTGTTAGAGACTAGGAGTGCTTGCTGGAAGTAGTGCTAATTACCCCACCAGGCTAGTACTTTGATCTCACAAGCAAGCTGCAATTCTGCAGCAGAAACTTTCAGGTGTCTTCCTGTCTGTCTGTCTCTCTTGGTCTCTTACCACTTAAGTCCAAGAAATCTGATCGAGTGTCCTTAATGGCTCCCGCCTTGTACTCCATTCCTGGCTCCGTGGGAAATATGAGCCATTCGATTGTCCAGAACAGAAGCAGTCCCCACAAGAGGAGGAGAACTGCAGTCTTGGCAACGAACGCCATGGCTGCGAATGTCAGAAGCCAACTTCCAAGTATTATCAGTGAATTCAAACTTCACGATGATGAGCTTACTAAGCCCTATGACTCCATTCCTCCGCCTCCCGGCTCCCTTGTGAATCTTCCCAAATCTGCAGGCTTATACTGGTGGCAGGCAGATTGTGCTTGGCAGACTTGGACATTGGTATCTAAGCTTTACGAGGCTTTTATAGAACCCCTTCCCGAATCACACCTTCTGACCTCTCCTCACGTGGGGATCGGCCAGACACTTTCCTGGATTGAACAGAATAAACCCGCTTGCATCTAGGCCCACAGAAGAGATGCAGCTCGCTGCCACTAGCCGCTACAGTCTCCAGATCTATGAGCGGTCGGTCAATGACCGAGCATACAACCACATCTCTCCTGTCCAGATGAGATGTGCCGTCAAAACACCAGGCCAATTCTGCTTTCCGTTGTCATCATGGTTCTTTCACCGATCGCCAGGCTGAGGCTCCAATGTGGACTTCCTCAACCAGCATTCGCGTTGTTAAAGCAATTTCTCGGGATCTCAGTTCAGCGTACTGCAAAAGTACGTCTATAGTAATGTGGCGCTCGCCATGGAGTCGGCAGAAGACTCCGGAAACTCTGTGACCCCCGTGTGTAGAGATTTGCCTCTTGTGCACTGAGATTGTGTCGTTTTGTGGTTGAGTATTCCAACAGGGTGGATCATTCTTGTCATCTTGCGCCATAATGCTAAATCGGGCCTCGTTGCTTTAATCACTTGATTAACAGGTCAGCGGATTCCAGAGACAGCTGCTGCTCGTTTTCGCTGCAGGGTGCATTTTCAAAAGTATGCTCGTGCTTTGTTTGCACGCTCAAGCTCAATCATCAGTACACTTAACGGTACGATCTGAAGTACTCGAAAAACAGACGCTGCTCTTGGTGGCAACTTGCGTCGGGACTTCGCAGTACGGTTCCCAATCATCCGGATTCGGATTCAGCTTCAATCTGAGACTTGGCTTCTGAGGTTTGCAAAACGTCAATTCTTTGTCGGTCGAAAAGGGCTTCGCACTGTCTGCGCGTTCGACGTTTTCCGGGCTTTCCTGAAGGCTTTACTGCAGAGTTCTTGGGGGTTCCTGCGGTTGCCGACTCGGAGGGACGATGTTGGGGATAGTGAGGATTTTTGAAACGACTGGCCATGCAGTTCCATCGCGGAGGACGTTTGCTCGACAGAGGGAGCTCAGTGTCGAAGTGCTGCTCTTCGCATGCTTCGTTCGATCTTTAACAGCATCAGCAGCTCCGTTCTCCATGTTGAGATGAATGAAAAAACTGCTCCAATGATGTGTGAATGTCTGAAAGTGAACCAGGTGGCTCCAGTGGGACGTTATTTCAGATTCATAGATTTTGGATGACAATATACAATTTGCTCATTTCTTCATCGAGTTGTGGGCAGAAGAAGCGTTATTCTAGTCTGCCAAGATTTCGAGTTCATGCCTCCCCGGGCTCCGCACGTATTTGCGTATTTGCATCTTCAAATACGTGCGGAGCCCGTATTTGAAGATCTTGGCCATGGTCTGACTCTTGGAAATGGTTCTGTCGTCGAGTGACGCATTGTATACCGAGTCATATTGAATAATTCCTGTTTCTTCTTCCTCAATTGGTTAATGAGATTATACTATAATCTCACTAACGAATTGAGGAAGAAGTAACTTCACTATAATCATTGTAGTGAATTATGGTTCACAGTTTATTATGTTTAGGGTTTAATCTTGAAACCCATATTTGCAAAGATTTATTTGTTTATATAATGATGTTTGAATATACTTTTTAAAAATCTTAATACTTGAAAATTTTTTATTATGTGTCAGTGAAATTTTGTTTGAAATTTTTTTTCACTCAAACCTATAATGCTTTAATTATAAAAAATCAAAGCATTATATTATACGCAATGCAAAAAATTATGTATTGTAAAATTTTAATCGTATGAATGCATTGGTTAAAAATTAATAAAAAGTTGTTGTTATGCATTTTTTAAAAAAGATTGTTGTACATATTCTTGTTCACAAACATTATTATCAAACGATAGAATATTTTGGGACAAATAAACCTTCTTGCTTAACGAGTCTAGTGGAATTTTTTTTCTTCAGTGTATCATCCTTTGTAAATTGAATGTCCAAACTATTCGCAATGTTTGTTATCACCTTTGACAACTCTTGACGCTGATGAGAGATGACCAGCTTTGGAGTTTGGATTGAGGAGAAGATGATGACGATCCGCTAAAAAAATGGCGATTTACTTCCTGCAATGATCCACCATAGTCTTGACAGTGCTTGAAGATGTTAGTTGTTAGCCACGGGAATCATAAACAACGACAATGTTATAGGAGCCAACATACAAAATTGCCAAACGCGATCTATCACATTGTGTATTTTGAAAATTTAAAATCCATTTTGCTCATAAAATTTTGTTGAGTTCAAAAATGCATAAAGAACAAGTGAAAAATCTTGTAGATTGTCTTGTTCAACTATCCATGCATGACACTTTTTACTAAAATAAAGAGCTAGTGAGCAACACATAAGATACAAAGCACAAAATTGAAACAATCCTTCTTTATGCAACCTTGTAAGATACCTTGTTCAACACTCCATGCGTGACATTTTTTACTAAATCATCGAGTTGCTGACCAATGCATCAAATACAAAGCACAAGATTGGAACACTCTTTCTCTAGCAACGTGACAACTCCAACGTGCGGGCTGGTCATGGTGACCTCTCTATCTGAACCTATCAAAATGACCTTGTTTTGCCAAGATGGAGACACATTATCAAACAAAGTCTTGATGAGCTTGACATAGATTAGAGCAATATGTCTTTCAAAGAATGAAACCAACAGAAGGTGAAAGTTATACAACACACAATGAATCCTGTGGTACCCCACTTTTGGTATTTTTGAGGAAATTAAAACATTTTTGGAAAATTGTACCGCGGCAGCAGTGTAAATAGCCTTCGGTGCATCAAAACAGAGTGAAATCGGAAGATCGCAGAGATTCTCGAGAGAACTCGTAGAATCCAGGAGTGGGGTGCAACGTCGGGGACGGACACCACCCTCCATGCGGGCTCTGAAGGTATAACCCCTTCGGCGCAAGGCGCAAAATCCGCCTTCGGCGCTACGCCTTTGGCGCTAGAGGAATCCTTCAGAACTTGGTCAATTCGCAACGTCTTGATTTGGTTAGGGTTTCGTTGGAAAGAGCTCGACGCGCTGATTCTAACGAGCCCAAGAACGCCACAAACGGATGAGGACTCCGGGAGTTATGAAGGTCGCAAGATACTCACCTTCTCGCATACGAGTAGGCGAGGAAAGTTTGTCCTATGCGCGGACGAAGGCAGTTCGCCTACGCGTAGGCGAAATAGGGTTGGACGTAGGCGCGATGTCCGCCGCGAATGTCACCTACGCGTAGGCGAGGAAACCTCTGACCAGGCGGACGAGCGAAGTTTGCCTACGCACAGGCGCTTCGGCGTCGGCGGGAAATCCGCCTTCGGCCCTAGAAATGCGCCTTCGGGGTTAGAAAGTGTACGGCGCCTTCCGCGCCAGCGCAGCAGCGTGGACGGGCGGGGAACCACCGGAGTAGTAAAATCCGTATGGACCGTACGGACTGTACGGACTGAACGGATGGATGCGCCTTCGATCGGACGGAGTAACGGCGGCGAGAGCGCCGACGGAGAGACAAGAAATGGACAGACTGGACGGAGCCTGTTGACCGCGGTCAACGCCTTCGGCGCCAGCACAGCAGCGCGAAAGGAATTCGCCTACGCGTAGGCGAGCGCCTACGCACAGGCGGATGAAGTTCCGCGCCGGCGGAGATTCCGCCGGGGATTCCGCCTACGCAGAAGGGAGTTCAACTTTTGTCCGATGCGCGGACAATCGCCTTCGGCGGAGGGGGATTGGCCGAGGAGTGGTACGAACGAGTGTAGCGCGCAAGGCGAGAAATCCGCCTTCGGCGCTGCGCACCCATGTCCGCGGCGTAGTACGCTAGTGGAGTTCAAATTTGCCAATTCGAGCGTGTGAGTTAAATCGGCGTCGGCGGAGCGTGAAGCCGCGCGTGAGAGTGGAGACCCTTTCTAGCGCAGAGCCGGCGCGGCCATCAAGTGATTCGACCCTCACGACCAAGAGCCGACCATGACCTTCGACCTGGAGACGGAGGGCGCCCCATTCTTGAATTCGCGATTTCATTTTCTAGTGCGAGCTGCGCGCGCCCACCTGCTAGCTGTTAAACATTACAGACATCGCCGCGCGGAGGATTACTTGTTGATTGAGAGAGAATTGAGTGCGCGCGATTTGGAATTGAGTGAGACTAGAGTTTGCAGAGGGAGCAAGGAGCTCGAGCGGAGCAGAGTGAGAATTAGCGAGCAAGCTAATTTCAAGAACGCAATGTCGAAGCTGAACAGATTGCGGATGCTGCCGCTCCGGCTTCCACAGAACGGGCTGCGTGCCTACGAGGAATGGCTGATAGCAAGAAAGCTCGATTTCTTGCTGTGGGGATGGAATTACATTTGTGTGGACATGGTGCGCGAATGGCTGGAACCACATCGACCACCTACGCGTGGATTGCGTCCGCATGTCGATCGGTGGACCGTCCAAGATTGGGCGCAGGCATTGGGGAGGTGTGCCGGCATCGACGGGTACCTTCTCTTTGATAGTGAGAGCGTCAAGGTGTCAAAGCAAGACGAGGCGCAATTTGTGGAATTGTTCAAGCGGGAGAGGTCTACCAAGAATGGGTACAAGACCCGCGACTACAAAGATCGCTTCCGCCGAACTTTAGCGGCGGCGCTGCTGCAATTGCTGCAGCCACACCGCACCTCCTACATCACCTTGTGGCAGGTTTCTTTTGTGGAGCTCATCTTGGAGGGAGCTCCAGTTCACTGGGCGAGCATCCTGCACAGAGTGATGCGACAGCACGCATTCGAGTAGAAGGGGGGAACTCTCAATCAGCTCTCCTCTTTCTTGATCAATTTCTATTGGCAGAGGAATTGTTTGACCGCGGCGGAGCTCGCTCGCTTTCCGCCATTGTCCGTCGACCATCCCGGGAAGTATGTGCGGGATAACGAGGTCGACACCGATGCAGAGGATTCACCAGCTTCTACTCCGCCGACACGGAGGGACGAGGGAAGAAGCACACCCGCAGCAAGAGTGCCGCGGAAGCGTCGATGGAGAGAGGATTCAGAGGAGTAGCAGCATCGAGAACCCACTGCTCCCATACGACAGCGGCCACTGCACGAAGTGTGCAGCCGGCCGAAGCAGAAGGCGTGCAGGCTTGTGTTACCAGCCAGCAGCGCGGACACGGCGACGATCGCCACGGAGAAGGGAAGTGCGTCGCCGGAGAGGATCGAGAGAGCGCGGACTTCCGCAGGAGCGACGGACCACGCTACACCTCCGACGGACGAGAGGCGGCCTTCGGGCCAAGTGCCTCCGGAGTTACCACGTGCGATGCGGACGAGTGTTCCGCC